GTGATTTTTTGATTTTAAATAAGCGGTGTTAAAAATTACATTGTTCAGTGTGGCTTTCCTCAACTCTTTTGTGTCTTTGCCCTTGCGATAAGCAATGACGGTGCAATCGGGCACTAGACATTTTTCCCGTAATGGCTCGGGCACTTAGCCTGGAGGTAACAAATACGCCTGAGACGGTTAAGGTCCGGCGTTCGAACCTGACAGGACCTGGTTTTCGTAAAACAGGAAATATTCCGTTTCGGGTTATTTTTCTGCCTATGTTTTGTCAGCTTAGCTGCCACATCGTAGATTTTTTTTGCGGTTCACAGATTGTGTTTTAGTTATTTGAAGTGTTTTGGTTCATTTCTGCTGTTTGTAATTTAACTAACCTTGACTTCGTACATTTTGTTTCGTTTTTTTTTCCGTTAAAACTTCGTTCTGGCCCAAATGATTTCAACACTTATAGTTTATCGGCTTGGGAAAGTTTCAAGAGAAACATAAATTTTATACTCACCTCTGCATCACAAAAAATGCTAAAAATCTCAATAGAAATTATAGTTCAAAGTTTTCATGAAAATGATTTTTTTTCAGCTTTTTTGTTTTTCCTTGTTTTTTTTACGCTTGATTGGCTTCGGCCTATGTTTTATGCCTTAATGGGCTCATCTTGTCTGTGAGTGTGAGGGGCGAGTAAAGTCTTTAAAGGGCGAGGGGACTAAATATCTTTCTATTAATCCTAATTTTTTTGATTTTTTTTTCGGCCGTTGTTCGTTTTTTGTTTTCGGCTGAATAGCTATCGTCTATATGTTTTACGGCTTAGTGGTTTTATATTGTTTCATTTAACAATTAAATAAAGCTTCTTTTGTTTTTATGAGGGGGCTTAAACGTTTTGAGGAAGAAGGGGTTTTTTATAAGTCTTAAGTCTTGTTGATTTTTTTTCGGCTTTTGTAACCGCTTGGTAAGCTTTCTTTCATTGCAATTTTTGCATTGTTTTGTTTTCTTTGAAACAATGATTTCTTTTTAAGTTCAATTCATTTCACAGCTGAATAAAAGTTTTATAGATTGATTCAGTTCTCTCAAATTGGGTTTTTAAATTTAAAAAAGTGTCAATCATAAAGTGTCGCAAAAAAGTTTTCTAGAAATTCAAAGAGCTCTAAGGGCATCTGTTTTTTTCTTTGAAATTCGAAATTTTGGAATTCAAAAAAATAAGTCAGTATTTTGTTTCTGTTTAATTGCGTTCATTGACTCATTTCCAACTGTCCGTTGGCTATGTTTTCGAAATTAAGTGTTTTTTTCTTTTTCCTTGAGACCATTTTCTTTTTTCCATTTGTGTGTCTTTTCCAAATGTTTCAATCTTGAAATTCAAATGATGTAGGGGGAGGGGTTAGGGCGGAAAAGAACCATAAAGTTTTACCCAAATACCATTGATAAGTCTACCGGTCGTAGAAATTTGCGTTTAAGTTTTTCTGCATGATTTGTTATGGTTGACAGTAAAACTGATGTTGTTTGAGTTAACAGAAAATCAAATATTGTAGATATTCATATGAAAGCAGTCAATCAACCAATCTGCTATATTTATGAAGCCCTCTTCAAACAGTTTTGTTGACTTAAAATTCGCCTCATTTCTTGATAGTGGAACTAAAACAGGTTATTGAAGTTTTTGACTTGCTTTGAACACTTTAAGGGAAAGCATTCAATGCCCGAAGTGAACGGCATCCATAAGTTGAATTGAGATTTCAAAATGAAGGCACATACTTTTTCTTTCAGCCGTAAAAACGAAAACTTTCGAGCGTACCGATATAAGCAAGCTAAAAGCAAATTACTAAAGTGGCGCGTTCAAACTACTGAATATCCGAATAATCTAGAACTGGATATTCAATAATAATTTGTTTGTTATTATTGTAGTCAATTGGCGTAGTTTTGAAACAATTCAGCCACAAAACTCAGACAATTCGGCCAAATTAGGTTAAAGAGACGAGATCAAAGGACAATTTTTTTTTCTAATTTGATTAGAATCAGAAGGCTTTCAACACTTTAACAATGAAATGTGAGATATCAAATAACAATTATCGAGTAAACAATTTTGCAATGCGTAAAAGTTAAGGGTTTATGTAATGTACATTAATGATACAAAGTTTTAAATACTTCTGTATATGGTCTCGATTGTAATTACTTGCGTTCTGCAAGAGTTTATCATTGGCAATTGAATATTTGGGCTTCAATTTCTGATGAAGTCACCGGCCATCAGTCTCTCCACATTAATTTCGGCATTTTTTTGAAACGTGTGATGAGCTTGGGGAAGGCTGGGTGCTTCGTCGACACGAATTTATTGAAGCTGCCTTTCCATGCCTCTAATGCATTATTTGTAGGAGGTTCTCCGCTGACAACCCGCTTAAAAACGTTCCAATTGTCAATGTCAAATTTTGGTATGACGCGTGTGTTTCAGCGACAGGTACCAATATAGGTGTCTTCAAAGTAGTTGGCTAAACTCTGAAAATCCACTGAAGGATCCTCTTTTCGCAGCTCTTTAAATGCGAACGTTACATCGTCAACGGGAACGAATGCCTAGCCAATCATTTTTTTCATTGAAGCGAGTTTCATCATCCTCCATGTTCCTGCGTGTAAATTCAAGTTTTTGTAGGTTGCGACATACTGCCTGGCCCAATTGGAAGAAAGAAAATGGAATTTCTGTATCAGGTTGCTTTTTTTAATGTTATTGCGAACAGCGGTGTAAAATCAATGGCTTTTTTTTCGGGTCGCTCTAAGCAGCCGAAAAGTTTTTCATATGTGTCTTGAGTCTTGTTGGGCAGCAGAGCGTACTGCAGGGGTATTCGATCACACCATGTATGGTATAAACGTGGTAGAAGCCATCTGGTGCTACTGAGAACGTTCGGTCCTAATGAAACTGCGGACTGAGAAAGCAAACCGAGCGCAGGTAATATTGCAAGTACCACAATTCTGTTGTCTCAGTTACCAGAATTGCAACGTAAGAACGTATCACCGCTGTGTGTAAATTAGAGATGTTCAGGAATTTTTGTCAGTGCTCTCAAGGTTTTTTGGCTTTAGCATTGTTTCTAAAGCTTGCTGCCCGATTCAGTTTATACTTCGAAGAGATGTTGAGTAACTTGGTTTTGTCAGCGCTGCATAAAGACAATCTGTCATGGAGCCTTACCAGTGTTTGTGGCTTTGTCGCGAACTTCTCGGCTTAATTTTGAGGGTTTCGGTAAATGTGCGTGCTCGGTTTTTAAGGTGAATTCTTGCTGTTTGTCCAAATAACCCACTGCCCTGCAGTTTCTGAAAGTACCTTGACATTCAATGAGACCATCATTTAGCTGTTTTTTTTTCACGTATCTCTAAACATCAAGACAAAGATGCTTTTTTCAGCGAATGAATGAGAATGATTCAGATACTAATCAACCAATTGTTCAAAGTAGTTACTAATAAAGATTAAGCATCGTTGATTGTGTAATTGTACCATTAAAATGCAAAAAGCAGGCGTTACACTTTGTACTGGTTTCTTGTTTGACAATGTTGTAATCGCAATTAATTTATCTTTTAGAGAAATTTAATTTTCAAATTAGTTCCAACCAACTACCCAATTTACCTTATAGGCGGTTGCACCCTCCCCCGCCTATGGCATGATAAAAAATATCTGCGTAACTGTGTGGCCAGTAAGTGGTAGGTGTGGACAACCCTTTAACTGATATCATTTTGATCGCCTGTAAAGTTTTAAGTTTCGGGTCTGCTTTCATGTAAAATGGGTAACTTTTAAGTATTGTGGAGTTTATGCTGAGTTTGATTTTTATTCAGCCACCATTCTAAATTTAGAAACGTTATAATTTGTATGAAGCTTTATTAAGAGTAATGAACTTAGTGAGGACGCTTATATAGGTCTCGCTGATTTATATTGTTTTTTTGTTCCAGGAAAATATTGATGCACTTAGGTATAATGCACTTTTGAAATCAATTGAAATTCATCTGCTGAAAGTGATGTAAATAGCACTCTCAAAGTACGAACGTGGAGATTGCGTAAAAACGTGAACGATTTCTTGTTTCGAAAGTGGAATTTATTTTTAACATTTTCCAGAGTAATAAGAACGTTATCTATTGATCCAGTTTTCTCAAGTTGGGTCCATGCTATCAAAACAGCGCCCATCAGAAATTGCTCTAGAAATTCAAAGAGGGCAAAGGGCATTTTTTTTTTTGAAATTCGAACGTGAAGATTTTTTCAAAAAAGTCAGTGTTTTTTTTATGTTTACTTGCGTTCAATACTCTTTTCCGTTTTTCGATTGGCTATGTTTATGTGTAGGTACTTCTGGTTCTTTTAATTTGATTTGTTTTAAAGAAAATATTTCTAAATCGTCTAATAAAAGCTTTGATGTTTTGCCGCTTGTGACAAGTTTTTGCGCGCACGTTTTACAATTTTAAAACTGTCTGAAAAGTCTTTGGCCGAATTGTAACACTCATTTTGACTGAATTGTCTGAATTTGAAATATGCTGAATTTTCTGTGACCGAGTTGTCTGAACGCGTAGTCAATTATCTTATAACGAGTGTCGATGGGGTCCCTCATGATGGAGGGACCGAATGTTGAAAATTTGTTTTACTTATTTCTAGCCAATCAGAATTGAGTATTCAAAAATTTCAGAGAAATCGCGAAAATCTCAAAGAAAGTGATTAAATTCATGTCATTGAAATTAAGATTGACCGATTAAAAAAAAGCAGATACACGACTTTTCAAATATTGCGAAGTCGAAACCGGGTATTGGAAAAAAAGAAAATAGAACATTTTTTTGTATATCCACACAAATTGTACAGCAAAAATTTTGCAGTGAAACTGTAATTCATTTTTTGTTGATAAAGACATCGGGTATGTGGAAAATGAACGTCTAGCGATTCAGATTGGCTGAAAGTTCTCAATCATTTGGTCGCTCCATCATGAGAACGCCCTCCACCAGCGTTAATTTAGGTTCTCTTTTGGTTTTTGTATTTTTCTTCTTCCTCCGAGGTTACGGCGGCTGTTTAGGTGTAATTTGCACGAGTCGCAGATGAGCAACGGCTGTCCAGCAAAATACGTGTTCAATCCGGAGAATGTAGTAGATGTGGCCAAAGATATTCCTGTGGGGTCGAAGCCAGATGGATCCGCTGTAAACATTCAGCCACAGCTAGTCAATCTCAAATTGCGTCCTGGCTCTACTGAAAAGTTCAACGTGACTGTGTATGTTTCGAAAAATTACCCCGTCGATCTGTACTATCTAGTTGACAACACTGTCAGTATGATGGATGACTTCGTGAACTTGGCAACCTTGTCAGATCAGTTGATAGCGGAAATGGTGGCACTCACTCAGAACTTCCACCTGGGCCTCGGAACTTTCAGCGACAAGCCGCTCAAGCCCTGGATTATGACAGACTTCTACACCAAGAAACCAATTGCTCTCTGTGACGACTGCGCTATTCCCGATGTGTTCCGACATCGGCTGAGTCTTGGAAACATTTCAAACGATGAGTTTGCCGTGAAGTTGAAAGATGTGAGCTTCGCTGCGACTATCGAAGACACAGAAGCATCTTTGGAAGCCATGCTGCAAGTGGTAGTTTGTCAAGATGTGATTGGCTGGCGGAAAAACTCGAAGAGAATTCTTCTCGTATCCACCGAATCGATTGCTCACTTCTCGGGTGACGGGCTATTCTCGGGTCTGTTGAGTCAACACGACGGAAACTGTTACACTAACTCGGAAGGAGTTTATTCGGCGGCGGAACATCTGGACTTCCCTAGCGTGGAGACTTTGCATTACAAGTTGAAAGAAAGTCGCATTCAGACTGTTTTCGCTATTCCAGATTATCGCAAAGATTACTACGAGGAGCTGGCGAAAGTACTGCCGATGACCATCGTAGCTGTGATGGCCGAAGACTCAAAAGATTTGGTGAAGGTTGTGGTGGATAGTTTTACTAAGATTGCTAAGATGGTTCAGCTGTCCTTTGTGGACACCCAGCCAGACGAAAAACTGGCAGTTAACTTCACTGCTTACTGTCCCAATGGAGAAGTGAAACCGGGATCGACGATGTGTGAAGATGTGGACTTTGACAGTAGTGTCATATTTGAAGTGAGTGTGACGGCGCCTCTGAATAGATATTTCTACTCCTCTTTCTCCCTAGCACAGGAGAGTCTGGAGCACTGGTCCACCCTGCGTGTCAATGTCCAGAGTGTAACGGAAGGGGGCTGTGATTGCGATGATTCTGTTCTCTATCCGCCGCCAAACAAGCTACAAGGTAAATTAATCTCGTTCTTTCATTGCTGTGAACTGTTTTTGTTCCGACCACTGAATGAACTATGGCCTTTGGTGGGTTCCTTTTTTTCCGCGGTATCAATAGGCTTTGCAGATAGAGATAAACTTTTCAAGAAATGACTTTAATGGTGCTTCGTTTTTGTCACATTGATGCGAAGTATAGCTTTACCTCTGTATTTGAGCATTCATATTAGTGAGCAGCCGTGGCCGTGTGGGTTAGGCACACGTCTCTCAACTCGAGGGTCATGTGTTCGAACTCCACTTCGGTGACGGTTGAAGGTGTCCCGGTTTCATCCGCCTCCTCAAGGTGGGACCGGCTGCGGCGAAATTGATGACCACTCCCTCACCCTCAGTTGGTTCTACACTGAGCTGGACCGGGGGCTAAAAAGATTTGTAAAAAGAACATTCATAACAGAGGCGAAGTTGCACTTCGCATACACAAGCAAAAATATGACCGATAACGCTACTGGGAAAAACTGAATGAGTAAAACTTTGATTCAACAAAACTTCTTAATGACCCGCGCCAATTATGACACATTAGCAGTACCAATCAAATTGAAATAAAAATTAGCAACTAACATGCCTTAATTTATAGAGCAGTCTATCGAGCAGTAATAACATGAAAAATTTAAATGTAATAAAAATAAAATGAATTTTTTTGTTTGAGATTTTTTGTGAAAATCATCCCCCCACTCGCCATATTAAGTACTAAGTGATGAAATTCGCTCCTAGTAACAAATCAATTATAGCACACAAGCTTCCTTCAACTCCTTTGGAACGATTTCTAATTTTACGAGAAATGATCACAGGTGAACTATCTTTCCAAGTTTAAGCTCAGGACAACGATACTTTTTGAATGATATAAAAAAATCCCGTCTAAAATGGCTAGTTAAAAAGTCGACATTTGTCTGAAGAAAAAAACACCCCGAGCACAATTATTCCGTTACGTTCGTTACGAAAGTCGGAACAATAATAGTCTGTGTAAAAATCCTTAGCTTTGGCTGTACTTAATAGCTGGTTAATGATCAAAATGAACACTTTCAAAATTAACACGTTTTATCGCAGCAATATTTGCGACTTAGGTTGGAAAAAAAGATAGTTCATACTATAACACAAGCATTGCCTGTGTAGTTAATCTTCACAAATAGTCAAGAAACATCGAATATTGGGCTTGTTTTTTTTTTCAACTTTTCAGTAAAACGTTTACCTTACAAAAATATGGTGGAGCATTCCAAACGACAAAATATTAGAAAACGAGCATAAATTCAAAAAATGAGCATAAAATTATGCAACGAGCATACAGTTCCAAAAATTATGTTTCAAAAGTAGTAAGGTGGATTAAAAGCAGTTCGTAAATATTGATTTCTGTTTAGCCTCATCTCTGAGCAATTAATCTCGATCCTAACCTCTACCTTGTGTGAGTTCCATTTAAAAATAAACTGCAACTGATTGCTACTTCTGTTTTACTTCTGTTAGCATGTCTAATCTGTTAGAAAATGGATACCAAACCAATTATCCGTTTTTGCCAGCCTGCTTTTTCCCTGCTGCGAGTTTTTTTTTGAATAAAGGAAAACTGACGATAACTTCTGTAAAAGGGCTGAATTACCTCAAATATGTTAATTTTAATCAAATATCGATTGTGCAAGATGATTTTGTTTGAGACTGCAGCAGAATTTTTGTTTCAGTTGCATCAAATTTTGCTTGTGATTCCGGTTGATATCAGATCCTATGATTTTAATAATGGTCTTCATGTTTTAACGAGTTGTAAGTGAGTGTGTTTGTTTCACAGGAGAAGTGTGTTCGAATCACGGAGACCTAGTGTGTGGTGGGTGTGTGTGCAATAGTGGCTTCTCAGGAGACCACTGCCAGTGTGCCCAGGACTCCCCAGTCAACATCTCCCTGTGCCAGTCGCCAGCATTGGGAATATCTCTTCCCTGCTCTGACAGAGGCTCATGTGTATGTGATGGGTGCAAGTGTGCAGTCCCCCCTCTGGGTCCGGAAATCACGAGCAGTCTCAAAGGCACCACTCCTAAAGTGTTTGGACAGTTCTGCCAGTGTGACAACTGGAGTTGTCGAAAGTACAATGGACTCGTATGTGGTGGATTAGAGAGAGGAGTTTGTGAGGGCTGCGACACCCCAGGTTAACAGTGAAATCAATAATATCTGAATTTATGATCATAATAATGATAATTTATTCTTTTCGCTGATAAATGATAGATTTTTTTTTCTAGAACAAAACATGTTCAAAAGCCCGTTTAAGCAGCAAACTAGTGAACAACAGCACAGTGCATTTTTCTGGAATTCTATTTAATCAAGAATAATTGTGGCATTTATAAAAGCGTAGTACTCCGTTTGGCTTAAAACACAATCAACAGTAGGATGTTTGATTACTGTAGGTCCTTCGTGTGTGTGCAAAGAGGGTTATGAAGGGAAGGCGTGCGAGTGTCCAGTGTCCACTGCCAGTTGTATGGCGGAGAGTAGTGGCAAAATATGCAATGGCCAGGGCGAGTGTGTGTGCGGACAATGCAGATGTTTCCCAAACAGCAGATACAGGTCAGCTTGAAAACATATTTATAAACTGGATTTTTGTAACCACGCTTCCCTTTTAATAATATCTAGTAATGCATCCATTCCCCTGTAAAGTACGGATGCAGCTGTTGAGCGTACTCGAATACTGAAGCTAGTAATTAACCCCTTTCTGGGCATTTGTGTCACCTATATGCGAAAATTTTGTCAGCCAATTAGAATTCATTTTTCCAAATTTGATCACAATAAGCGATAAAGTCAGTCAGCTTGGGAAATTTTAAAAGGCATTGATTGGCTGACATTTTCCCCCATTTGAGCCCCCCAGAAAGTATATCAAAGATGATGCAAGTTTGTTTCAGTTAAATTCAATCAGTGACCTTTTTGCGGAGACCCTAAGAGTATACTGAGATTTTTAATGGAATCGAGTGGCTTTTGATTTATGAAATGATGTTTTTGTAAATGAAATTTCACTCTCAACTCACTCCAGGGGCGATACTTGTGAGCAGTGCTTCAACTGTCCCAACATCCACTGTGAGCCGAGTGAGGAGTGTGTGGTGTGTGCCTACAAGCACAGGGGGGAGATCAGAGAGAGACAGGGGAAGTGGGAGGAGGAGATGAGGAGGTGGGCGAGAGAAAATGGAACACGAGAGGGAGGAGTGGACCACATGGACGAAGAGTGGAGTGATGACTTCGCTTGGCGATGGAATAACAGTGTGTGGCAGGCGAGTAGTTGTTACTGTGCTCTTTAAGATTGGTTAAACTGTACAACTTAGGTGAAAAAAGCGAACAAATCAGAAGAGCTCGCAGCATTTGAAGAAGCTCATTGTGTAAATATTCAAGCTTTAAAAATTTGTAACTTCAGTAGGGTTTTCAATCGATCAGCAACATTGTTAGCCTAGCCTGTGAGTTATAATATCATAGTTAGTCGTTTTGTTTAGGTCGTACAGGAGCATTGTTTAGAGGAGTGCAGAAATGTGGCGGTAGTCATTGTAGATGAAGAGAGCGAAGGGGAGGGGAGGGAACAATGTCTGGCGGAAGATGAGGATGACTGTTCCTACTTGTTCTATTACTTTCCACCCACTCATAACTGGCCGGGAAATGTCACTATTGGGAACAGAGAAGGTGTATGGGAATGGGATGAGGATAACCTGGACTCGGATCTGATTATCTGGAACAAGAAATTTGGCTACCCAGCACATTTGGCACGAGTGGAGATAGTGAAAAAGTACTGTGATGATCCTCTAATTCTCATATTGGTGATACTCTTCATTATACTTGGAATCCTCCTCATCGGGATATCTCTTCTGGTCGCGTGGAAGATAATTGTCACTATCCAGGACAGACGAGAGTTCGCAGAGTTCCAGTCGGCTCTCAAACATGCGGATGTGAAACGCAACGAGAACCCAATGTTCGTGAAGCCAACTCAGACTGTGAACAACCCGGTGCACGACCACTCATCGACCAGCGCCAGTGGGGGCAGAAGGCGCAGTCTGAGACTTCGCTAAGAGTGTAGCAGAGGCTCCATGTCATCCGATCACCATGGAGGCGTAGTTCATGTATGTGACCTCCTGTGACTCCTTTTGTCCTGATGTCTCTGAATTGTCTTCTTGTCAAACATTGTCTTGCCACTCCAGACTGGTTTCTGCCAGTCGTTCATTTTACACACTTTTCTACTTCATCTATCCACAAAGAAGCTGCAACAATCATTGTTCAACAATTCGTATTTGCTAGTTGCGTTCGACTATTCAAGCTAGTTTTGATGTCATATATGCGATTAGATCCTTAGCGCGCTGAATTTCGTTGTTCCGACCCACCCATTAACAAAATACATGCAGAATAAGTTTTTAGAAAATAAATATGCTACGAGGTTTGATTTTCCGCGCTTCGAATCTCCGTCTAAATCCCTTCACTAATTTTATCTACGAAATTCAAATTCAGTATTCAATGCTGACATTATCAATCAGTTCAAAGTTTGGTTAAATTCTGCATCTATTCGACGATTTTCTTTGTGATGCTGCGAGGCATTTAAGTTTTTATGGTTTTTCTTGGCTGTACCCCAAATACGAAAAAGTTCATAGCAGTTACGTCAGATGATGTAAAAGTCGGCGCAAATGTCTTACCTTTCGGCTCATTTATTACTGAATTAGTTTTTATTTATCGTTTTTACTTCAGCTGGATTTGCTGCATGTTCTTTTCCGTGGTTAATGCTCACATTCGGTTTGGTAAATGCGGTCTTTTTGCCGGACATTATTTTTATCCAAAAGTGGGTACGAACTAGATAAAAATATAACCGCCTAAGATTTACAGGGCAAGCAACAACAAAGGGAATTTTTCCGCAAAAATTGACAAAATGTCTTTGACTTAAAAGAAGCGGCTGACTTCTGGTAATCAATCATGCAACATGTAACCTGAATATGATTTCGCACACGGAGAGGTTTTGGGGAAATAATTGATTTGAAATGAAAGGAATTTATGTCGACTTGCACACGCAATGATGTCGGAACAAAAATCTTAAATACATGTATGCACATGAAGCAGTAGCGATTCAGTTAATAATAATTTGTACAAATATCAACTTGATGTTCTAAGCATTTATTTAGATTTAGCCACTTTGTCATAAATATCATTTCACAGACTTAATTAAATCAATTCAAATTCAAATTCTCAAGTCCTTACTGAAGATAAGTAGAAGTTCCTGATAATTATTTTTTGAAATTAAGCTGTACTTCAAAAACGGCAAACATTTGTCGCCGATAAGTACCAGCTTTCAAATATGTGCCTTTGTGTTCTGTTTGGATTTAGCGATTTATTTACAAAGTTTGTGGGAACAATATCTCGTAAATCTTTGAACTGATTAACGCTAACATATCATCGTGATTTCAGATTCTTCATTATGGGTTTACAAAGTTGCTTTCTGAAAAATGTTATGGTAGCTTGTCTCGCTTTGGTGCTAAAAACGGGCGCGGAAGATTGGCATCAGAAAAATCTCGCAATCACCTTTGAAATATTGTTGCCACAGTTCCTCGCTGACGAACATGTATCAAAAGGCAGCAGCGGAGAATGTTTAGACCAGATAAGAGAGTCACAGGCAGATGGTGATGCTTTTTTCAGAGTGATCGACGCCTGGGGGAAGCCAGAGGCGGGACTGACACAAGGCAACGTGTTCTGGTTCGGCAGGCCATCGCTGTGCAATGAGATCCAGATAAAAGTGAACGAGGAGACAACAGTGACGTATTCCGACAGAATCGTCTCCTTTCAACTAAACACGACTATTCTAGGAAGTGCCATTCCGGTGAATCTTGATGCGTGTCTTCCCGAAGCATGCAACGCAGATGACACAAACTGGATTGTAAAAAGTCTTTTTTTGACAATCTCTGAAGCTCTGAACACTACTCTAGCTCTGGAAAACGTTTCAACGACATTGGCAGATCCTGGCCTTCTGGATTTCATGTTCTACTTCACTGTTTCTCTGTTCGGAACCTTGGTAGTTATTGTTCTGGTGGCGACATTATTCGACTACAGTTCTGCTTACAGCAAGGAATGTCTGGCCAATCGTGACTGGGTGGCAATGAAGGATCCAACCGATACTATGGACCTAGATTTGGATGATGATCTCCAGGCACTGCACCAAGAGTTCTCTATGGGAAGCTCGGCATCTAGGTCTAAGTTTGTCTTGCATCGACTATTTCGAGACCTGGAGGAAAGCCTTTGCGGTCTCCTTCTGAATGCGTTCTCACTGAGAGCTAACATCCCCATGTTGCTTTCATGCAAGAGTAACTCAGCCAGTATTGACTGTCTCAACGGTATCAGGGTCCTAAGCATAAACTGGGTTGTTTTGGGACATACACTTTTATTCACAGGAGTGTTTTTTGTCCCAATCTCACCTGTGGATAATCTATTCCAATTGCTCAACGAGTATGCCAGCAAATGGACGTTTCTGGCAGTTTCAAACGGCACCTTTTCAGTTGATACATTTTTCCTTCTAAGTGGCTTTCTCGTCACTTATCTGTGTCTGCCGCGGTTGCCGGGCATGCGAAGGAACAGCGGGAGTCAAGTTGACAGCCTTCCGCAGCAGAGTAGGCTTTCTTCAGACAGTCACATTTTGTTCTGGACTCTCTACATAGTAAAAAGATATATCCGTCTCGCTCCAGCATTAATCTTCATGACTCTATTTACTGTCGGTGTTTGGAAAGTTCTTGGCAATGGAATTGGGGCTATGTGGCAGCCATATGAACAGCAAGTTTCTGTCTGCGAAAGCAACTGGTGGACTAACTTCGTTTTTGTGAGTAATTTCCCAAATGTGTGGACTCCTTGCAATGGATGGACTTGGTATCTGGCCAATGATTTCCAATTCTACATTTTCTCTATTATTCCGTTTATTTTGTTCATTTTGTTCAAATCTGCAATTCCTGCCTCGCTCTTGGTGTTTCTCTGCATTTCCCTATCAGCAATCGGCTCTTTCTTCTTCGCGTGGATTAAACACATCGGACCCACTGTGTTTGTGGGATACCAGAACCAACCAAATATTCCCCACTATCAGAACTCATTTGCTATTACGTTTGGAGACTATTACGTAAAGCCTTACTTTAGATTCGGGGCATATGGAGTCGGATTGTTGCTAGGATTCTTGTCGTACTCTTGTCCTCCTGGATCGGTTAAAATGAGCAAGAAACTGAATTGTGTGGGTTGGTTGGTGTCCATAGCTCTCATGGCGGGGGTGATTTTTGGACTATCTGAGATGCTGTACGGATACTTTCCTTCCTTTTTTTTATCCGCTCTGTACAACTCAACAGCGAGGATTCTCTGGGCTGTTGGAGTTGCCTGGGTCATGTTCGCCTGCATGCATGGCTACGGTGGAATAATCAACTCATTCCTTTCGTGGAAGATTTGGATCCCACTTGCAAGACTCACTTATTTGGTCTACTTGTTGCACCCGTTGATGATTGTATTTGCAACTGCCTCGTCTCAGACTCAATTTCACTATAACAACTACAACTACGCCGCCAGTTATGTGTCGGTACTGACATTCACTTATGCACTGGCAGCGGTGGCTTATTTGCTGGTCGAATTGCCAGTCATCAAAATTGAAAGAGCTCTACGAAACAGATTCTCAGCCTCGAATTAGCATTTTGCACCATTCTACACACTTTGTATTCTAATATCAATATCTATTATCAACCAAATTTGTGCTTTCTCGCCTCATCTGCGATGAGCAGAAAAAAATCACTTGAAGATGATTTTTTTTTGTAGTATATCAAAATGAAGTTAAATTGAAAACGATCATTTTCCTAATGTTAATTTGCTGATTGCGCTAATTGCTGCTTCGTAGTCTCGATCTATATTTTTGTACGGAGAATATAACAAAATTTTTATGAATTATTTCTGCAGATTTGCGAATTTCTACAATAATCATAATAATGTATATAAATGTGTGATCCCTTCTTGATTAAAAATCAGATGTATATCGTTGTTTGAAAGTAGCCTCAAAAATATCTAGTCATTGTTTTCAGAGCTGGAAAATTTTTCTTAGTCATTAGGAAAGTAACCATTTGTTCTGCAATCAGTTTTTGAAATATTAAGAAGCAATACAGATTCTGGTAGTTATAAACTGGCTTTAAGATCTTCGAAGTTGAAGCGAGAGAAGTTAAAAAGGGAACGCTCTTTGGTTTCTGGTGTAGATTCAGATTTTTATCTTGGCTATGAGAACAAGTTTGTGAGTTAATGTTTTCTGTTCTTTTATGGGTCTTCATGTAAAATTATGACTGGGAGTTGTGGACTAAACATGTGGAAATGTCTAAACATGTGGAGAAAGACCACGGAACGATTTCTCTAGTCAACAAATACTTTTTTTACTTTTCAAATATATTTCTTGTGTTTCTGATCGTCTCTGCAGAGTATTTTTCCACGTGCAGCTTTTCGTTTTCTTATTTTTTTGAGATCCTGATTTTAATTTCAAAAACCAGAAATTGGTTCTTTTTCCTTCCCTCACCCCCACCTCACACAAGCATCATTTTTATGGTCTAACGAGTGGTTTTAGAAGGTTGATTATGAAGACCAAATATTTTTGTCATTGCCTAATTAGTCTGCATGTCAGTTTTCATGACAATAGGACAATGTGAACAGTAGTTTTAATTATAAAAATTTCAAAGTAGGCGGTAAAAGGAAAAAGAGCCTAGAAATTGCTGTCTAAAACGAAAAAATGATCTAATTCTTGCCTTTTCTTTCTCCTCAACTTATTCTGTAAAAGTCTACCTTATGGGACGTCTTCTCGAGGGGCCTTAGGGACCCTTAGCTTGATCCCTGTGAGCATCTTATGACTGATGCTTGTTAGTTGTATGTGCTCACTAAATAATTCAAACTTCAAAAATAAATAAATAACTGATACAAAAAGTGATTCTGATGGAACATATCAGTGTATTAAAAACGTTCTAAGAAGTTAATGGATATTGAGCTGTAAATAACATTCCTGAATTCGGTTATTGCGCTTTTGCGAATTGTAAAAATCAAAATTTAGACTTTCTAATTGCGAAAAAAGACATATATTCAAGCATCGAGATATATCAATATTGAAATGTCACTTTTTATCTTAGTTTGAGTGAGTCGGTACTTTAGAAGAATACTTTATATTAACCCATGAAAAAATACAATTCTGATGGAACATATCAGTGTATTAAAAACGTTTCTAGGTAATGGATATTGAGCAGTAAATAACATTCCTGAATTCGGTTATTGCGCTTTTGCGAGTTGTAAAAATCGAAATTTAGACTTTCTAATTGCGAAAAAAGACATGTATTTACGCGTCGTTTTTCATAATCACCTATGATGGGCAGGGATTTTGAATATAGGCGTTTTTTTCTACTCAAAGTTAGGTACAACAAAGAAATGTTTGGTGGGATGGAGTGAGGTATCATAGCAATTTCATAATCAAGCTGCAACTTAATAAACTCCAAATATGGCAGCATCGAGATAAATCAATATTAAAATGTCACTTTTTATCTTAGTTTGAGTGGGTCGGTACTTAGAAAGAATACTTTGTATTAACCCATGAAAAAATACATTTGTTATACATTATTTCCAGCCCACCCAAAACCGAACAAATAACGAAAGCTAGTTCTAAGAACAAGCAAAAAACATCTCATATCGGGTTAACAACTATTTTATTAAAATCAGTTGAGTCACTTATGATGCTTAAATGCTCAATTTCATGAAAATTCAAATTTAACTACCGCATGCTATGGTACTAGTTACTACTGCATACTATATTTAGAACTCAAACTATTGTATGATTAATTATAGAGTTTTTATACTAATTTTTGGTTGATGATTTCTCGGTTTCATCGTTGTTGACTTAAGCTCTGTCGGTTTAGTTTCCAAATTCCGTAGTCTACTGTGGGTAAGATGAAGTTTTTTTCATATATGTTTTAACGAAAGTTTTTGGCTGAGTCTCAGCTTGATGTCGGCTTCAGTTCTGTAGGCTCATTTACCGATTTTTTTCCCTTAAAGTATCTTATTTTGAGATCAATAAGACTCTGGCACCAATTTTTGAATGCACAAATTCAACCCCACTATGACCTCTTTGAAAACTTTTTAAAAGTTCAAAAACGAAAAAAATATATATATTTTTTAAAAATGCTTCTCTCGTTTTTCAACTTTCTTCAATTGTATTATCGTTCGAAGTTCTGTTTGGTAATTTTTTCACCATCATGGTGCACTCATCCTATAATTGTTGTTTCGCAAGTGGTGCGAAGCTCAGCTTCGCCTCTGTATATATCTTTAAAATTGAAGAGTCATCACCGTAATTAATTTCATCCGTATTGAATTAGTTTTCTCGAACTCGGTGCTGGCTATCCTGCGAGTTTTCCCAAAAAGCTTCAATCAAAGCTTCGATTTAACCAATTTTTTTTTGAACTTGAGGGTGTAAATAATTCAAGGTGAATGTCTGTAATTAGCCGAATTCAATAAAATCAAAAGTCCAACGTTTAAAGTCGATGTCAAACGTACAACTGTTGAGTTAAAAAAATTGTTGTATGGTTTATGAATATTGTTATTGGTTTTTTTGTGTTTAAAATTTGATCAGGCTCAAGTTTATTTTTCCGAGGTTCGACTTGTTTTTTGTTCCAGATCACTTCATTTCCTTGGTTAAAAGGAAGGCAAACTCCACCGTCGATCAGCAAAAATGTGAAGGTAACGAAAATTTTGATCGACTTCTAATTTTGAAAATGGAATTTAATTATCAATTTTTTACCTGCAAAATTAAAATATTATCAATTGATCCAGTTTTCTCAAATTGGGTAATTTTCAAAAAACCACTAGACATAAATTGTGCGTCAAATTCAAAGAGCTTTAAGGTCATACATTTTTTTCATTAAAATTCGAAAGTTGAAGTTTGTTCAAACGACAATTTAATTTGTGTCTTATTCCCTTAGTTCATTACGTTTTCAGCGGTCAGTTGGCTATGTTTTTCGATCCAGTTTTCTCAGATTGCGTTAAATATATTTGGTTAATTAATCGCATCGGTTTTATGAGCTCATTTGTGACTGGTTTTCAGTAAATAGCTTAGGTGGTATGGGGCAGTTTTGAAGACATCAGCTACTGTAGAATCAACGGTTCGATCCCGTAGGCCCTATGTTAAAACTTTTTTAAACTACTGTTTTTTTCTTGTACTCTAAAGTCCCTTATTGACATTTCGCGTGTGTTTGCAAAGTAAAGCTTTGCTTGTGTCTATTACAATTTTATAGTGTCTCAAGTGTCTTAGGAGTTGACTTTTTTCTTGGAACCTTCTTTCGAAATCCCCTTAACCCAAAGGTCTGCTGTTTTAGATGTAATACTTTAGTTTCTTTGATTTAATTTTGAAACGAAGAAATCTCTGATTTTTTTGAAAAAAATGTATCTATACGTTTTTTATTGAATTGACGTTTCACGTGACACTTGTACAAGAAGTTTTTATTTTGGCATGTGAAAATGCATAATCAAAATGTTTTGAAAAATTGAAGTATCAAAACACGTCCTTATGTTAATTCAAACAACCAATGATTTCAAATTTCCAAAGTTATCTGTAGTTTTCATACAGCTAATGAACTACAAAGGTTTTTTCCGCAAGGCGAAGTATTTTTATACAAACAGAGCGAAGGCTGCTCCGTCTGCTCATCCTTATACTACTACTCCGCTCCGGCATTAATCCAAACCCTGGTCCAGGGCCTTACTTTTGCTCCCCTTGCTCTTTCCGCATCAAACGCACCCAGCCCAGTGTCTGGTGCCACATCTGTGGTTACATTCACCTTAAATGTAGTAGTCTTACCCACCTTAACCAACACCACCCTGACTACTATTGCCCTACCTGTACCTCTACCTACATTTTACCTCCCCCAGGCACCAGGTCCTCTAACTTGACCACCCCCAACTCCCAAACTTGTTCAACTTCCCTAACCGCCCCCCAACCCCACCTCCCTAACCCCCCTCCCCCTCCCACCCTTCCCACCTCCTCGAATAATAATTCCTCCTCCCAAAATCGCGCAAATCGTAATCGTGTAAATAGTGTAAATAACTCAAGTTCAAACAACCATTTTAATCATACTGCTGTTAATAATGTAAATAGTTCACCACACCCCGCCAAAGGCCTTTTAAAAATCCTTCAATTTAATTGCAACGGTATCTCCGGAAAAGCACCCGAAATTGCTGCTTTCTTATCTCAAAATCAAATTCATATTGCTGTCTTCCAAGAAACTAAATTAAGAAAGAAATCTCGAAACCCCTCACTTGGCTCACACTACACTTTAATTAGAAAAGATCGAGAAAAAGAAGGGGGCGGTCTTCTCATAGCCATACATGAGTCGATACAATACGAAGAAATAAATATTAACAACGATGGAACACTAGAGGCTATGGGCATATCAGTGGTAGCCAGTTCATCCAAGCTTCGTATTTATAATTTCTACATCCCCCCTCGCTCGAGCTGTCCCCCTGGTTACTCTGCGTCCCTTGCCGAACTACTTGAACCTGGGGACGCCTTAGTACTCGGGGATGCCAACGCACATTCACAACTATGGAACTCCAACATCGAGGAAGATCAACGCGGCTCTGTACTTAGCAATGAAATAACCGAATCCACCTTTGCACCATTAAATGATGACACACAAACCAGAGTCCCTTTTAACTCAGAAAACCAACTCTCGTCACCATATATTTCCCTCGCATCCCAATCGCTCTTACTCTCCACATCATGGACCCCAATTAAATCTCTAGGATCAGATCACCTACCCATTCTTCTAGAACTACCCTTGGATGATTTTATAAATTTTTCACCTAAAAGGACTTTTATAAATTTTTTAAAAGCAGATTGGATCAAATTCACAGAGGAAATTGAGGAGGGTTTCTTTTCAGCGGTTCCACCTTCCGGAGTTGCCGCCGGAGAGAAATTCTTGAGGGACCTGGTGCTCAGGGCAGCACGCCACCACATCCCCGCTGGCCGTATTCGCCACTTCACTCCCTCTCTTTCCCCCGAGTCCACTGCCCTTGCCGCCGAAAGAGATTTAAGCCGACAACAAAATCTCCCCCCAGAAGTCATATCCCAACTGAACTGTAGACTCATGAAACAGACAGCAAAGGACAAAAAAATAAATGGCGAGAATTCCTCCGGACTTGCGACTACCGCACTGGTGCCAGAAAGTTCTGGAAAGTGGTACGCTCCTTAAATGGATCTAAGCCCGTGGCAGGAAGACACCCCATTACTTTTGGTTCTAAACCCATACACTCACCTCGTGATATTACCAGCTCTTTTAGCAAACAATTCACCAATGCCAGACCCCACGCCTCTGACAAACTCCTTCGTATAACGAGAAGAAAAATTGCCAAACTACCGCTGTCAGACAGCCCAAATTTTACCCCTGAAAATACTAAACAAGCCATTGCAGACAGCAAACCATCGCGAGCGCTAGGTCCCGACGGCCTTTGTAATATACATCTTAAACATCTCGGCCCCTTTGCTACTCAATACTTAACATACCTTTTTAATATCTCTTTGTCCGAAAACATTATCCCCCAAATTTGGAAAAATTCAAAAATTGCACCGCTTCCAAAGCCCAATAAGGATCTTAAACAATCAACATCTTACAGACCTATATCCTTACTCTGCCCAGCAGTTAAAATTCTGGAGAGGCTCGTTCACCCCATCTTTACCAAACATCTCCCCAACGCCAAACACCAACACGGCTTCCGCCCTTTTCACTCCACCACCACAGCTCTCTCCACTCTCGAATTTTACATTTCAGACGGTTTTAACCAAAATCACCCCCCTAAACGTACGGTACTGGCCACACTTGACTTATCTAAGGCTTTCGACATGGTGTGTCATCGCTCACTTGTGGAACTCGTTCATGACACTCCCCTCCCAAGAAGTCTAGTCCGCTGGCTAAGTAATTACCTTAATGGTCGACAGGCTGCCACCTCATTCCGTGAACACACATCCCCCCATCGAATAATCCACTGTGGCGTACCCCAAAGTTCTGTTTTATCACCCACACTCTTCAATTTTTATGTCCATGATGCACCGCCACCTCCCGATAATGTAAACCTTGTTTCGTATGCAGACGATTTCCACCCCTTCGCAAGCAGTTCCAATATTGATATCGCCTCAAACTCCATCAATAGCTACCTAAAAAGGCTCTACGATTTTTTCACCTCACGCAAACTAAGTTTCGCGTCCTCTAAAGGATCAGTTACACTTTTCTCCTCTTATAACAAAGAATTTAATAAAACACCTAGTGTTCTTTTAAATAACGAGGCGCTACCCCTAAACAAAAATCCAACATTCTTAGGGGTGACATTTGATCCAACACTTTGTTTTGCCACTCACTGCAAACAATCCGCTGAAAAGGCCAGACGCAGGATCGGAATCCTGAAGGCATTAGCAGGATCAACCTGGGGTCACTCCAAAGAAACCCTCCTCCTAACTTTTAAAGCTTTAATTCGCCCCATACTTGACTATGCAGCCCCGCATGGTCCCACGCATCAAGTAACACCTCCATAAATTGCCTGCAGGTTGCCCAAAACCAATCCCTTCGCGTTGTTACTGGATCAAATCTAATGAGTTCCACTGCCCACCTGCACAGTGAATCTGAAATCCTAACGGTCAAAGACCACCATACCCTTCTGTCATCTCAATTTTTTATCTCTACCTATCGTTCCCACCATCCCATTAATTTTATACATTCACATCCCCCTCCTCCCCGTCTACTTCGCCCCTCAATTATAAGCTGCTTCAAAGAAGACACCCAGAAAATTTTAACCGACTTTTCAGTCTACGCAAACCACCCTCTAGTTCTGGACGACCGAGACGAAGTCTCCACTTTTATTTTTAACTACTACAAACCAATTTTAAAAGACAACCATACCTCCCTTGTAACCAAGTTCCTAGCCGAAACCCCTCCGTCTAAAGTTATTTGTATCCCTCCCCCAAAGATTGACCCCTCTGAAAAATCTCTCCCACGTCCCACGCGCTGTAAGCTCTCCCAACTCCGGTCTGGCTACAGCCGGCTCCTTAACACTTACCTATCCCGCCTCGACAGCTCCATCTCCCACCTTTGCCCAACCTGTTCCCTTGCCCCCCACACAACATGTCACCTTTTCAACTGCTCCCAAAACCCCTCCCCACTCACCCCAGCAGACCTGTGGCTTCGGCCGGTAGAGGTTGCTAAGTTCCTTGACCTGGAGACAGAAGAGCCCAAGCCGACCCGCGTGGGCTAACAACAACAACCGGGTACGTTTTTTGCGTAAAGAACTTTTTCGGTGGCCGGCACGTGAAAATGTTTTAGGTTTTCTACTTGCTTCATTACAAAATCAGGTTGAAAGAGCAATCTGTGTATTTGGCATAGTGGTAACCCGGCAGTTCGACTCCAGTTAGGACTTGTTTCTTTGCAAATCGATAAATTTCGATTATAGACTATTGTCTGTCTGTTAAAGAGAAATCATCTATTTGTTTTGTCGCATTTCAACCTCGTTTTTTAGTTTATTTACTTAATGTTGGCATCTCGGTTATAAAAGGATAGTCGCTATCTAAGGTGCACCTTGTTATTAAAATTTGCAACTGGCACCTAGTTCTCAACAGGTAACCACAAGAAGACTTCTTAGGCACCATGTTCGAGAAATATTGTGAAAAAAATGTAAATATTGCATATCGGAGAGTAAGCGTTTAAAAGTTTGTGAGTGGATTTTTGAAAGAATTAAGTTAAACACTGGCGATGAAAATCTTTTCTATGTTAGTTCTGTAATTTCAGATGGAATATGGTATCGGGGTACTATTCTTTGTATATTGCTTTCAATTAACCGGTGGATTCAGGTATGAATCACTGAGGTACTCCAAAAATGCCTTGAATGGACTCAACTTGGACCAGCATGTGAGGCTTCGCAGAGCAGCTACAGATAACAGATACTCAAAACCTCCTCCATCCAATCCAGTGCAGCTGAGCTTTGAAGCGTTAAATAGGTAATCGAAATTACCGCCTTTACTTGTAATCGATTGCCTCAATCATTTTACGATAGCTTCAAATATGGAGCTAAAATTAAAATTTGCTGAAGTTTTGTAGTGTCATTGAACGAAGTGAACACACTTATATAGGTCGTGTTTTTAGTCTGAAAAGTGGTTTTTGATCTTTAGGTTTCCCAGCAAAATCAAAATTTAACTATTGATCCAGTTTACCTCAAATAGTGTCGTCATAGGAAATTCTTTGCCAAATATGCATCTTTTTCGGTTTTGCGGCTCTTTTCGAAAATTTTTGTAACCTTTTTTTTAGGTCGAACTAAGTGATTTGCGAGCGCTCCCAGAAGACCCTAAAGAACATAATTTGATCAAAAATTTTTTCGCTGCAGGCAAATTTAAAAAAAAAGTAAAAAATGCCGTCTTTGGATTATTTAGACCGAAAAAAATTGCGGTTTTCGGCGCGCGCTCCCCTTTAAATTTAGTTTATACTTGCGCCAAAAATGGATGTCATAAAATATTGATTGTTAAATGAGTCGAATCCCTGAGAGGGAGGGCGTCCGCCCCCTCCCGCTCTCTAAATCCGCCCCTGTTGTGCAGTCATGGACTCTTTTCCAAATGCTGCGAAGTTATGTCCGTTAACTTATACCCATGAACTGGTTAGCCCGATCTCAAGATTTATCGCCTCTTGACGTTTTTTAATGGGGTTAATGTTAATATCGCGTTTTTCGGGACTCAAGACCCAGCTGTTAATGCCTTGAAAACAAAGATATCCGAAGTTTTCCAATTCAATGTCAGATACTTTCTTGCTGTATCGAGTCTGGAGCGCATGTAGCTATCGGTGCTGTTTGACAATCCAGAAAAATGGAAATCACTTTGAACACTCTTTGTGAGTGGAAAAAGATTGCCGAAGTCTTAGATGAACTCCAAGTTTTAGTATTTATTGAAATCGTATCAATTTTTATCTATCTATCTATATCCATCTATAGTATATTTAAATGCGAGTGACAGCTATCTCCCATGTTTAAGCATAATAGTTTAGATGTTAAAAAAATCGAAAACATTGAAGATCTCAATCCTGTTATTGGAATTTGTGAGAGTACTCGCAGGGGGTTGCGAATTTTGCCACTGAATATGGCTGCTCAAATTTTTGTAGTTTTCCAGATATGACATTTTAGGATTTTCTCAAAGTTTTTCAGAGAACTTAGATATAAAAAATTTAACAAAACTTGAAATTACCATCTCTGTAGTGAGGCGCTGTCAGAGTACTCTCAGGAGTTGCGAATTTTACTTCCAAATTTGACTGCTGAAAACCTTGCAGTTTTCCAGATCGTTTTTTGTGATTTTTTCAAAAAATTTTCATGAAAATTAAATTAAAGTTTGAAATTCCTAACCTGTAGTTGGGGCAGTCAGATTAATCTCAGGAGTTGCAAGTTCGGCCTCCAATTAAGAATGCCCAAATATTTTTAGTTTAACAGATAAGACGTTTTTGTGATTTTTTTGGAATTTCCCAACCCTGTAGTTGAGTACTTTCAAAGATTGCGAATGTTGCCATCAAATAAGACTGTTGAGATCTTGGTATTTTTCGAAATGTGAAATTTTTTTTCTGGTTATCAAAAATTACCTTTTTTAGAAAACTTCTCGTATTTTTCGAAATGTGAAATTTTTTTCTGGTTCTCAAAAATTACCTTTTTTTAGAAAACTTAGAGCGCAAAATTTGATTTAGCAACATTGTAGTTGGGTACTCTCAAAATCTGCAACTTTGAAGCCCAAATGCGACTGCTCAGTTGCTTTTAGTTTCCCAGATGTGTCGTTTCTTAGTTCATTTTAAATTTTTCGAAAATTTTTTTTATAAAACTTCACAAAATTTTATGGTTCTTCAAAATTTGTATTGAAAACTTGAATAAAAAACTTTGCAAAATTTGTAATTAAGAACCTTGTAATTGAGTGCTGTCAGAGTACACTCAAAGAATGCAGATCTTATTTCCAGTATATGCGGTTTATTATGAGTACCGGAGGTGCGTTGCACGCTAGTATGGTTAAACTTGATTTTATCTCCTAAACCTTCTTACAAAATTTGAGCTTCGAAGCATTGTTATTCGTAAATTTATGGACGTTGAAAGTTGTGGCTACCTTACAAAATCACCCTGTGTCGTTTCTTTTTAACTCCAGTTCGTTTCCTTTGATAAAAGGAAGGCAAAAAACTCGGCTATCGACCAGCAATACTGTAAAGGTCACGAAGAACGTGATCAAATTGTAGTTTCGGAAATGGAATTAAATGTTCAGATTTCTCAGCCCAGCGGAATCAAAAATTACTTTTTCATCCAGTTTTTTCAAATTGGGTTAATTTTTATCAAAAAAAGTCAACCATAAATTGTTCTTGAAACTCAAATATCCTTAAGGTTTTTTCTTTGAAATTCGAAAATTAAAGTTTAAAAAAACAATCAATTTTTTCTCTTTCCTTTTGTTCATGACTTTTTTCAAACTGTCTGTTGACTATATTTATCATTTATATTAGTTTTATACAATTTATCCTCTGAAAAGTTAATTTGAAACAGTGCTTATGTTTTTTTTTCACGCGATATTAGAATATTTTTTATTCAAAAATATCAAATAGAAAATATTCTACTTTTCAGTATTAAGCAAATGTATTCACAGAGAAATTAATTTCACAGAAATATTTAAAAATATTTTTAGAACTTTCAATCTACAGTTGTTTGAAAACAGTCGACATATTTTCTCGGATCAGTTCTACATTCAGTTTCCAGATGGATGTAAGACCTTATCCCAAGTTCTAGTGCATTCCCAGGAAACAGGCGGAAAGAAAGTGACCATTTTAAAAGGTCATCTGGCCGACAAAGGGAGGAATTCTCTGGTGTACGGTTATGCAGCCGACGGAGTGTTTTTCGGCCGTATTAAAGACTTAGCTGACGGAAGTTCTTTCTATGTCGACTCGGTCGAATCATTCAGTCGCAATAATTTCAACAATAGTAACGACTCAATCGCAACAGACCACGATGTGCATTCAGTTATATACGATGAATTGTCGTTGCCTATCAATGGTCGTCCCTTCCATCATTCGTCAGAGGGAGAGAACTCCGCTAATTCTTCAGAAGAAGCATCCGAAGACGAGAGCGACTCCTCGGTCGTGACAGGCTGTGCGTACCATGGTGCTACTCGGGATCACATGGAACAGATGCAAATGCACACACAAACCACTAAGTGGGACAAAAATGTAAGCTTAACTTGATGTAGATTCACGAGATCATTTTCATTCACCAAAATTTTGAACATTTTTCAAAGTGAGAATTTTGTTGACGTTGGCATAGATAGTCCTTTTTTTCTGCTGGACCGAATCAAACCATAGGATTATGTTGAAAGTGCTCGTAACTTGTGTTGATTAAATATGATTTTTTTGTTTCAGAAATTCAGTAGCGATGCAATCAGAGACAGTATTCAGGACAGAATCAGAAGATCATCATCTTCAAATCAGTCCGCGCCAAATACCGTGTACAAAAAGAACACATGTCTACTCTCTATCACAGTATGTATTCTGATTAGCACCTTTGATTTTAAACACATTTACGATTTCTACAATTTTGGTTTTCACCTAAAAACAATCCCCATCTTTTTAAGTAATTCTTGAATCAATCTAAAACCCTTGGCCAGCGCGAGTAATTTTTGAGTGTCTGGCAAAATTGTTGTGTTCTTACCACGTAAAAAATCTGAAGGAGCTTTCAGCGTTGGAGTTGATTTTAACCGTAGGTTCGTGGTAGTACAAGTTTTCCTCTGAAGTTGATAAGTGGATCGTTTTATCTGAATACAAAATCAACAAAAATTTGAAAAATCCAAGCGTGAAATTGAGTTGGATGTTTTGAGCAACCAGTGAAATTGGAATGTTTTTTTTTCGGCAACTTTGCACTCTTGATAATTTTGGTATTGTTCTTTTGGCGCTTACCAAAATTGCCCTAAGTCTGTGCATTTGATTTTTTTCTCATAACTCGCTTGGGGCATATTGATTTAGTTAGAAAAGCAAGCGAATGCGTATACATTAAAGGCATGTCAACGTGCCGCAAGGGCAGGTCGCCAAAATTCTCAAGGCCAGGTTGCCGAAAATAAAAATGTTCTGACTTGATTGGCACCCTTCCTCTCATGGAGATTGAAATTTACACAGGATACAAAGACTACCACAATTTTGACAGACTGCTCGAAATATCCAACTCGATCTGGCGTCAACATTCTTTCTCATTCGTTTTAAACATAAAAAAAAAGAAACAAGGAATTTGTTGTGAAGTTTTTCCGCGTTGTCTGGAACAAACTTTCCGTGAAACAAGCTTTCCATAACTCATAACTTATAAAAAAAAACATTCTTAAAGTCATCGCAAGTTACTCTTACTGAGGCCCACAGTACTCTTTTGACGAGGGCATGCTATAAGCATCGATCAAAGTGACAAAAGTTGAAAAACAAGCTGCCATACAGAGATTACTTCAGAAATCATTTTTTTCTTGTCTCTAGCTCATCACCTTTCTGCACTTTCTTTCAGTATAGTCAACTAAGCCTAATCTAGCTCATTATTACCAGCAACTCACGTTAACTCAAACTGCCATCTCATTTCGAACAACGAGCAAAACTAATGCTGAATTTGCGAGAGTAGTGAAGTCAATAAGTTCCCACAATATAAATTTATAACAGCAATGGCTGGTCCAATTTCACTCCAAGTTTCACTAAAGAGATTTGCAGGAAACCCAGCAGAAAACCGGAACCAATTGGAAGAGCTAAAGTGTGCAAGATCCTTCACCAATTTGACTTTTATGCGCCAGAATAAATTGGTGTATTTGAAATGATTATTTCATACACAGTATTTCAACTTAATGCATGTGTAATGTACTTGAAGTGATTCTCGAAGTTGTCACCTATACTAATGTAACACCGCTTTGGATTCAACTGTTTTTTTTTTTACAAATAAGTTTGTTGATTTAAAAATTTCAATGTGAATCAAGAAAGATATCGCAAAGGTTCTGTGCAGCTTGTACAACAACCGGTCTGGTCATTTTTTCAAACCGTAATTAATGAAACTTTTGAATGCTATTTTATGCTAAACCGGTGGTACTGTGGATGTATTGGGATTTAGAGTGACCATCTATTCACTGCACAGTACAATGACGTGAGTGTGGTGACTGCAGAAGTGGCCAATTTTGTGGCGGAACTCAACAGCATCTTCGAGCAGTTGGAGTTTGCGGATGGAACCAAAGGATATGGATTCGCAATAGCAAAAATCATAGTCAGTCCACAACAGTTTGTACTCCTTAGGTTCTGGAATGAACTAAAGCGTGGGGAATGATGTATTTTTTTCAGCGCTAACTCACCTACTACTCGAAAATGACTAGTTTGAGTTGATCCCAATAAATAGCTCGAGATTGTTCAATTTCAAAGATAGCGTTTTATTTGACACAAAATCATTTATCAAGACAGTTCATATGTTTTTCTTTTATATATATCAAGATGGTTGAAAATTCAACCTCTTAATATATCAATAATAAAATTTTTCAAGTAAAGGTTCAAAATCAAGTAATATTTTATGATTTAATTCATGATTTATTGTGCTGGCGATTTCTTCAAAGAACGTGGGAGATTGTTATTAGAAGTCTGCGTGTGAATTACTCTTCTACTATATGTACTTTGAAAGTGTACATTTATTTTTGACGCACCCTGGATGCGAATGGCCTGCGATAATATTTTGGGCACTTATGTAGTATTTTGATTGTTGTGTGTAGATCGAAGACGAAAGTTCCTTACAGCGTGACGACTACAAGTACAAAGACCCCTACATTGGAGTGGAGAAGTTGCTGGACTTAGTGTCGACTGAGGATCACTCCGAGTACTGTCTGGCATATCTGTTCACTGCTCGCGACTTCATGAAGGGAGTGTTGGGACTGGCGTGGGTGGCAGCGGACTCTGCAAGTGGGGGCATCTGCGAGGGCTACAAGATGCACCAGAATGGCCAGATGAAGAGTCTGAACACAGGGGTGATCACGACAGTGAATTACGGAGTGCCAGTGGCCGCCAGAGTGTCCCACCTGACATTCACTCACGAGGTCTATAGCTTGTGTTTTGTTTCTAACCTGAGTATTCGATCAAGTCCTTTGATCAATTCCTTCAACGCTAATAGGTGAATTAGAGCATTGAGGAAGTATAGTAGTCAACAAATGTTCAAATTGACAATCCGTTTAATTAGACAAGCAAAGCTTGTGTGATAGTATGAACTCATTTTTTCCAACTTAAGTCACAAATGTTAGTGTTCATTTAGAAAGTGTTCATTTCGATCAATAACCAGCTATTAAGTACAGCCAATGCTAAGGATATTAACACAGACTAATATATTACAAATAGCACTTTAGCTTCAACAAAATAAGAGGGTTGGAACCTGGGCAGGTTCGGATGTTTTTAATGAACTTTTTCGTATACTAGTTAAAATGCTCTATAAATTGAGACTTGTTTGTTGGTAATTTTCTTTTTTTTTTCAAATTGACGTGTACTGCTAATGCGTAATAATTGGCGTGCGTCACTTAAAGAAATTTTGTGGACTCAAACTTGTTCTCATTTAGTTTTTCCCAGTAGCGTTATCGGTCATATTTTTGCTTGTGTATGCGAAGTGCAACTTCGCCTCTGTGTTGACAATCGGCCCCATGATGATTTTTTTCCAGCTCTTAACCATTCCTACTGTTTTAATGACACCGCTCACTAAAATCATTCTAGGTCGGCCATAACTGGGGCTCACCACACGACTTCCCGAGCACGTGTAAACCGGGGGGACAGCAGGGCAACTACATAATGTTCTCCTCTGCCACGGCCGCAGACAAGCCCAACAACAACCGCTTCTCAGAATGCTCAGTGGCGAATATGTCTCACATATTAGTGCAGCGCCGCGACGAATGCTTCAAAGGTAACATGATCAAGCTCCTGATCAGCCTTGTAGGTTTATATCTGCAATCACCAAGAGAGTGTCAAAGAAATGATAGAATTTTGATTTTTTTTTCTGTGTTAATATGAAGGCAAACTCAAACTTTACCCATTGATCCTTTTTCTGAAGTTGGGTTAATTTTGTCAAAAAAAACGTCAATCATGAATTGTTCTTGAAATTTAGAGAACATTAGACCATATATAGTTTTCTTTGAAGGTCGAAAGTTTAAGATTGTTCGCGCTCAAAAAATATAGAACAGGGATCAGGTTCGCTTTATTGGGACTCAATTACGCGTTAGCTCTCAATAATCTTGTGGGATAAGAAAGGAAGGGGTGTGTAACGATTTAATTGATGTGTTTGTGTAGAAGCTGGTCGTGCAATCTGTGGCAACATGGTGCTGGATGAGGACGAGGAGTGTGACTGTGGCTACGAGGCAAACTGTCTCAACAGTGGAGACCAGTGCTGCTGGCCAGCCGACACAGAATCCTCCTCGCAGGGACAGCCCTGCACCCTCAAAGCAGGACTACGCTGCTCCCCCACTCAGGGACCCTGTTGCACCACGGAGTGCCAGCTGGTGCCGCAGTCGCAACAAAAGCTGTGCCAGGAGGCGACCGAGTGCATAGAGGCCAGCTACTGTGATGGAAACAGCTACTTGTGTGAACCAGTGAAGAAACCAGATCTCACTGATTGCAATGCTGCTTCACAGGTAGACTCCAATTCGGTTCAATATTGCTACCAATTCAAAATAATGGGCGCATTGTTCCTTTATTTCATATCTTCCAATTTCTTCTAATCAATTGTATTGATATAAGAAAATATTTGATGTAAAATTCAATGCTTTGAAATTCAAAACAAAATTTTTGCTTTACCATGACATAGAATAAATATTCTTTAACAAAATACCCGTATGACGCGAATTTTTTTTATAGTTTAGCGCAATAGTATATATTTATCCGTTGAGCTGGGATGAAATGAAAACTGTCTGTGAAAACAAATGTAGGTACACGGATCCATTCTGACCCTTGTTTTTGATATATTCTGCGTCTTTTGGAACTAACAGTCCATGTCATGTCGTACTTTCGTTATGGATAATTAGTAATGATGTTACCAGGGTGTGTGTCTATTTGTTTAGGTGTGCGTGGACGGAGTGTGTTCTGGATCTGTGTGTCTCAAACATGGCATGGAAGACTGTCTGTGTGAAGACGAGGAACACCTGTGCGACCTCTGTTGTCAGCAGACCAATAAACCCAACACCTGTCAGAGCTCCAGCCACTTCGAACAGTTTGCTTTCAACAAGAAAATGAGACATGTCGGCTCCCCTTGTAAGTCACCCATCATCATTATGTATTGGCAGTAATGTCAATGTCATTTTCCCACAGATGTTTGACTTGTTTTTGTTTGTAGGGCAAAAGTGTGAACTAAAAAAGTAGTATTCTTTACACCAGCGTCAGTTTAGTGTGTTATTACAAACCTTCTTTTTTTCTAACCAATTTCGCAAATAAAAGTGTTCCCCCACCTACAAATTTTTATAATTAAAATTAATATTCACGTCGTCCGATTGTCATGAAAATTGACATGCAGACTAACCAGGCCATGACAAACATATTTGGCCTTCATAGTCAACCTTGTAAAACCATAAAATTGATGCTTGTGTGAGGTGGGGGGGGGGGGGGGGGGGGGAGAGCTAAAAGTGTTCTTTAATAAGCTTCCGTGGCTGAGTGGTTAGTGTGTGTGACCCTTAATCTCAAGGTCGAAGTTGCGAATCTCAGACGTAGCTGAATATTTGCCGATTCGAGGCTTATTTATACTTTTTATCGTATTTTATAAAGCTGGGCTCTTTTCCAGTTCCCCCTTTGATTTTTTCTGAAATTCGTTATATGAAAGTCTATTCAAAATTACTTTTCATGTTCTAAACGGCATCAAAACGTGTCAGTATGAACAGGTGAACAAACTCTTACATTTCTTACATGCAAAATGCCTGGTGAACAATTTTCGATAAGATAAGACCAATTATCCACGACAGAAAGGACCAACATACGAGCTGTACAGCTCACCAGAGAGACCCGCTGTTGTGCCCCTTGCTTAGAACTACATGCATTTTTTGTTATTTTCCTGGGATGGGTAATGTTGCCTCACCCTCAAGCAACGAGCACGGGTCATGGTGGGCCTCGAACAACCGACCTTTTGATTGAGAGGCGGAGACGTAACCACTTCACCACCGCTCCCCACGGCTTAATTTCCTTCGAACAGCTTAACTTTGTAATTTTACGAGGGGGTAGGAAACTGGAAAAGAGCCTAAAACTGCTTTTTGTCGTGTTCTCACTAGTGTTTGCGAATCAAAGCTTCGCCTCTGTGTTTATATGATCGCAAACTGTAGAATCGGTTTTGATTCAGGTGTGCCTTGAAGTTAATCGCAATTTGATTTAGCTGATGATTATCCTTAGTAGTTTGTTTTGTAGGCAATGACTTCAACGGTTATTGTGATGCTTTCAACCGATGCATGGCTATTGATGCAAATGGACCTCTGTCCAGACTGCGTGATGCCATATTCAATCCAGACATCTACAAAGGCATTTTCGAGTGGGCCAAGGTCAGTGCCATCAGTCAAAGTCAACGTTTATCCATGGTCTACGATTTAACATCAGGTGTTATGAAAGAGGAATAGCACATACCTTTGTGGGGGCGAATATGGTTTCAAAATTACGGATTATAAGAAATAAGACGACCTGGTTTCCAAGAATAAGCTTGTTTCCGATTATCTTAAATTCAATAATGTTTCAGCTATTCTTTTTTTTCAGGCTCACTGGTGGCTGACTGTCATTATCTGCGTGTCTTCTTCAATTCTGTTCATTCTTTTCGTCAAAATATTCAGTGTGCACACTCCGAGTAGCAATCCGCACTTGCCCAAAAACAGACAGATCAGAGAGACGGTATCCACCCTGCCCAGGACCATCAGACGCTCCACCTCCTCTGCTATGGCAGCGGGAGGCGCAGGGGCCAGTCGGCGCAGACATGCACGACAACAATATCAAAGTGGTCGACCTTACTCAGTGTCGGGACCAGCACCAGCCAATGGACCTTTGGATCTGGAGCCACCCAGAAACAACCCCAGAGGACCACCTTCACGAGACTCAAGTAAAAATGGCGCCCCACCCAAACGGCGCAGTAAAAACAGACGGAGCAGCAATGGCTCCAGACAACCCCCCGCCCACCGCGATCCAAACTACCCGCCTCCTTTTTCGGGGCGATCGCCACCTCCCCTTCACAGTCACTATTCTCAGCCACATCCGCCAGATTTAAACCACGCTAATGAATTCGAATTGAGAGAAGTCCTAGCACCGCCCCCATATTCGGCCTAGTAGCAAAGCAGTGAACGTTTTTACTACCAGTAGCACAAATTAAACTCTTCTCCATGATCACTAATTGTTTTCCATTGTAAATAAAAGTTGTGAATTGAAGCCACAACTGAAATGTTATTGCATTTAACTAATCTGGGTATCCTTGAAGGGAACATTGGGGTGGCTTCATTTCTACCAAATAAAGATATCTAGTATGACTAATCAAAATTATTGTGCAGTTAAACCATCCTGGTCAAATTTGATATAAAATTAGTTGAATCCTTCAGATAAGCGTTTAAATTGTGCTTTCCAATATCAACGTAAGCTCTTCAATTTGAATATTGTTTAGATACTATGAGACATTCTGTCTATTTCTTGAAACTTGTAGTTAGATTTCGAAATATGTAATAAAGCTTCCTCATTTGCCTTTTTACCAGTTTCAGCCAGTCATTGTCATTAAAACCTCCCATATCTTACTGTTTTTTTTTAAATCTTGTCGATAAGCATGAGAGTTGGGTATTAGACTTTTGTTCAGCTAAGAACTTTATTCTCAGAATATTAAGTTTCCACTTAATTTATGCTGAAAGCAAATGCAGTAGATCTTTTTGCTCAGTGGTAACACCTATGCTTGAGACAACAAACGCCTGAAGTTCGAGTCCGGTCGTAACTTGTTTTTTTTTCGCGCTGCGTTTTCGACCTTTTTAAACTATCGTGTTTGCTAATTTGTTTCGGCTTTTCCGCAGAACGGATTTCTCGAAGGTTCATCGTTTTTCTAACACTCCGAATGTCATTAAGAAATTTTCCAATTTGAGTTCTAGATCGAAAAAAAAATTGAATTTTTTTATTTGTCTCATCAGCTCGTAATCATTGTCATTCATTTTTGTATCGCTAGTGGTCAACGCTCTGGTTTGCTTTAATGTGACGCATTGGTCCTTATAATTTGTGCAATTGCGATTGGACAACAGAAGTTTTGGTCATCCGGGTTTTGGTCGCCTTTATTTCAATGAAACAGACTTAAGCAACGTTGTAGAAACGTTTTGGAACGAAAGAATTAAAAAACAGAATTAAGTCCCCAACTGTACGTTACCAGGTTAAGTTTCGCTCCAACGTATCGGAAGGTGGGTCCGAATATGTTGAAAAGAGCCCGCGGAGAAATCGATTTTTTAACCGAGCTGTGTGCAGATATCGCGCTTTTTGCGCGTTTCAATAAAAATAGTTATCTAAGTGAGCACTTTCTTCAGAGGCATTTGTGATTTGAGCTGAATTTTGCTGATTGCCTTTTAAGTTCCATGGATCACAAATTTTCTGCAGAAAAGAATAATAAAATTATTCTATCAATTGTTCTCAAAGATTAAGTTATGTCGAGGTCTTTTCAAACTCCATTACTACACTCAAATTTATCTGTGAAACAGTGAGCGAGCCAGGGTGACCACTTGGTCACTTTTTAAGTGACTAGTCACTTTTTTGTCGAAAGTCACTTTGTGTTTTTTAAACATTTTAAAAGTTTTTTAACATTTTACTGTTGCATTCATGAGTAATCCAATAGAATTTGTTCAAAAAATTCACTTTTTTGTGAGACAACTAGGAATGCTTAGCCAATTTACGAATAAAAATACAGTTCACTTTTTTCTCGGCCGAAGTGGTCACCCTGGAGCGAACTTTGCGGAGAAGTAAATTATTTTCAATTATCTTATTCGTAATGCAAATACTCAAAAAAAGTCTGAATCATAAAAATCATTATATGAAAACTTAATCGTAATAAAATTAACACAATGGCGAAGCTGAGATTCGCACCACTTGCGAGACAAATATGAAATTTTAAAAAATCTCATTTTCTCAATAAAATTTGCAACAGCCCGAAATATCTGAAACAAAATTAGTTGCACCATTAGAAACTCTACAAAGAGCTTTGGGAATGCTATAAAGTAGCCAAGTTTTCAAAAAAGTCTTTTCTGCGGAACTAAGCAGACAAAACAAGCAAACAGACAACAATCTAAACTAGCCAAAAATTTTTAAATGCAAGAAAAACGAATTTCAACTGGAATCGAACTCCCGGGCTGTCGTTTCAAGCATGGGGGTTACAGCAATTTAAAATTACGGGAACTCAGCCGGCAAAAATAAACAGACGGACGATAATCCGAAAAAGCACAAAAACTAGTTTGCAAAAAAGGGCCCGGTCGGATTCGAACTCTTTACCGTTTTAACTATTTACCGTTTCAAGCAGTTGTTTTACCTCCACGTCAGATGCGCCGAATGGTTGATTGAATTTGAATTTCCAAGTACTAAGCGGTATCGAAGCCGAAAAAACCTGAGCCGAAACCCTTCATGCCGAAAAGAAATTCAGAAAAATTCTAATCTTATAAAAGACGTCAAGTCCCTTTTCCCGGGCACAAATTATTTGCTGCCCCAGTCGTATTCATTACCATTAGGCTAAGCGTGCAATAGACACTCAAATTTTTGAATGCTATATGAACCAAGGTACCACCAGTTCAATGATTCCCGTAGAAAAAATTGTTTACAGGAAAAAAGTCAAATCTCTAATAGCCATACCCTTGCTATCGCAGGGGTAACAATCATTAAAGTATTTTTTTAAATTATATTAATTTAAAAATTTTGATTAAAAAAAACTGAATTCTAGAAGAAAATTATTCACTAACTTGCTGAAAATTTTTATTAAAAATTTCCGGAAAATGACGAAAAGGCCAGTTTGCTCCCAACTAGGTGGTGTTTTAGTTAGTACATTTTACCACAAAAATTGATTTATGACTACCAAATGTTTTGACTGAACTTACTAAAATATTAATTAAAAGGTTTCACAACCTTACGAGGTCAAACTGCATTTTGTGAACTGTAAGCGGATTCCGCAACCGGCCAAAAACAGTTGTTGCGGAATCGACAACATTACTGGACAAATAGCTAAAACACTTTTTTACTCAAAATCGCTGGAAAAACAGGCAACTTTACGGAAACCGCAACAAGTTTTGTGGAATCCGCTAGAAGATTTATGGAATCTGGAACAATTCAGAACCCAAAAACAAAAACTATTATACGTGTTTAGTAAACTTTAGCTAAGGTGGAATCCGCAACTGTAAGTGAAATCCGCAATTTTAAGTGGATTCCACAAATGTGCGGAATCCGCATTAGTTTGCAGAATCTATTAACATTTGCGGAATCAGGAACAAATATCTACATTTGCTCCTTGCGGAATCAGCAACAAAACTAATGTACAGACAAAATTTAAATTACAGATATTTGTACACGGAACATGTTTAACAATTTGTCTCTGGAATCCAGGAACATACAGACACCAAATTGGGCGTCTATTAAGTGCAAAAGTTGGTATCTAATAAAGAATGACGAAAAGACCAGGTTGCTGCCTACCAGGTGGTGTTGCAGGAATAAAGTAGGCAGCAAACATGGAAACATGGTTTATGTACAATTTTCAAGGAATGCAGAATTATTTTAATTGATTATTTTGGTAAATCGTTAATTTCCCGATTCTTTTTTTTGTGATTCGTAGAAATGATTGAAAAGACAACAAACCCTTATCCTTCTGTAAAATCAGTATCCAAAAAAAAACTCTGAATGCGGTCCACTGTTATAAGCAGGGTGAACTTCTCTTACTTTCAACCAGGTAGATCACTTTCACATGATGAATAGTTCGGTTTACTCAGATTCGAAGCTTCGCTCCGCAAAACTTACCGAGAACACGAACGACAAAAAGCAGATGTATAAGGTTCAATCAGAAAAATTGGCAATGAGCTTCGAATTAGAAAAAATACTAGCCAAACACTAGCCACGGAGCCAGAGATTTATGCACCCACAGATGCCATGTAATTTCTAATGCTATAGTGAAATTTCCAAATTAGTGAAAACTTTTAATGAACACTTTTATTTGCGAGTTAGGTTTGAAATAAAAGAGGTTTTGTAATTATAGATTCTAGTCTTGTAACAAAAAATTATAGCCTCAGCACAGTGAGACCAAAACAAACTGCCTGAGATTGCATCATAGCAAAAAATTTAATTACTTTTCCTGGAAAAAAAACAACCAAGGTATATGAAGATCTCAAAAAATTTTTTCCCCTCTAATCGCCAAAAACTAGCATGTTTTTAATGCCTAGAATCCTCACAAATTAGAATACTGATATCAATGACAATAATGACTTTGACTTGTATCATGACCAAAAAGTATGACCATACTTGACTTGTATCATGATAAAATTATGACCAAACTTGTACCATGATCAATAGATGACCACACTTGTACCATTAACAAATTATGAACAGAAATTAATATAAATTCAGTAGCTTAAAAGCTGTCTAAATCTTTATTGGCTGCTAGTGTTCTGCAAGATCAATAGGTACTATGTCTGCGTCCTTTTCAAAACCTTCACACAGGTGAAGCTGCGCTTCGCAAAAACCAGCGAGAACATGAATATGAAAAGATATAAATAAGCTTCGAAATGGAAAAACTTTGCTGTGTATGGGCTTCGAACCTGAAATTTCGAGAATTGGAGTCTCACATCCAGCGTTCTCGGTGGCCACGAACGCTTAACAATCGGCAAACTCTACTCGCAAATAAACAGCTACATTTGCTAACAAATTGCCAATCCTATGCAGCAAAAAGGGGCATCAAATAAAATAGACAAAATTTTGCCAGAAAAATTTTGGAATTTAGCAAATTGAATACATCGACACTAAATTTGCATATAAAAAATGGAAAGCATAAAAGCACATTGTGTATATATTATACATTTCAAAAAAAGTGCGAGATTGACATTTTCTGAAACCGAGTTTTTATGACAGTTATGTTGTTTGAAACAAATAAATTTTCTTGGTTCATTTGATGAATTTAAAAAGAATCATTCGTGTTAACTTATTGCTATTCGAATGTCCAAGTACATGCTATCAAAAAGCCGCCAAGGTCACCCAAAAGTGGCATCAATGTTTGCTACTTAAATTAGAAAAAAAAGAATAGTCGTAGTATAAGACTAACCCTCACAAAAGTTCGCTAGTGTGAATACAATCATACAGTAATTTAAAATTTATTAAACCAAATTCGAATTTTGCTTGTAGTATTTTGGAATGCAGTAGACCAAAATTTGAATTTTAAGTTTTTGTGCATTTAGAAGCTCCTGAATTTTGTCGCTTTCTCGCAGGTGGCCGCCTGTGTAAAAACCAGCAAGCAAAAAAACCGCAAGCCAACTTAAAATTCTAAATTACAATTTTCACGAATATAATATTTTTGCTAAAATTGTTTTCTTGTACATCATATTTTTGCTGACATTTTTTTTTCATTCGAAATTATACGAAAGGGTGGCCGATTTTATGGCCGCCCTTTTGTATAGTTTCGAATGAAAAAAAAATTTAGCAAAAATATTATGTACGAGAAAACAACTCCATAGTGAAAATTGTAACTTAGAATTTTAAGTTGGCTTACGGTTTTTTGCTTGCTGGTTTTTACACAGGCGCCACCTGCGAGAAAGCGACAAAAGTCAGGAGCTTCTGAATGCACAAAAATTCAAAATTCAAATAATGCTGGCATTAAAAAAATTGTTCGCAGGAGCAAGTTGATAGTTGTTTTCCAAAAACATCAAGTAACTTAGATGAATTAATAACCAAATAAGGTAATGTTCAATCAAAATTATTTGTATATAGTTTGTATGCAAATTAACTAATCATACTTACCCTAATTGTCTTGGAAGATCATCAAAAGATCTGTTTTGCTGCAAAAAGCATCAAAAAAACTATTTCTTGCCGTTGTGGGCGTCGTTGGGCAAGTTCGAAAAAATTTCACCATTTAAATCATACGTCGCATTTTATATCAAGCTGGCTACCGATGGGACCAGGTTTCCATAAAAGGAAAATGTTAATACACAAATTGTAAAAAGTTGATCAAACCACAATAGTATCTGCAAACCATACTCAGCACTGTATATGATATTATAGAAACAATATTTGTACACTATGCATGGCAAAAAAATTACTTATATTACTTATAATATCAATACTTCCAATTATCTGAAAAATAGCTTTCTGATTTCAGTTAAAGGTGTCTTCTTTAATGGTCAATTTATTGAATGTGGGACGCAAATTTGTCTTCGGGTGTTCCTAATTTTTTGAATAACTTTTCCCCCACACAAAATCAGTTACAACAAAAAAATCAGAATGCGTCAGTTGACCTATCAATAAAAAAATTTCAATTTTCATTCCATCGGCGTTAAAAAAGCTTATGTTTTCCCCGTTACTTAAAGCGTGGTAGTAATGCGACCCAATAGTCGTTATAAGAAGAAAACTTTTGTCAACCATGAAAAACTTAATATATTCCAGATAACGAGTTTATGAAATAAAATTTACTTAGCGCTTCTTTGACCATAAAGTATTAAACTTAGCTTCAAAAAAAGTTCAAGTTAAAAAGTTTTTATTTTTTTTTTGGTTTTAATAATCAATTATAAACTCTAGTTATATTTGCCTAATGTGATATGGTTTGACGATTAAATATAGTTTCTCTCGTTGCAGATCATACAAAAGATGACTTAATTTGCTAACAACAAAAACGATTTAGAAAGATTCTGGTTGTTTTTTCTTCTGATTCAGACACAGGCAATATTGGTAAAAGCGTTTATTGTAAGTGTAATCCTCGAGCAACACAGCCCACAAAAAACTGCCCACGTTTGAAAAAAGGTAAAAACACACTTTTCCTAAACAACTGTTGTCGCAGCTTTGCTCGTCCAGCAACCGGTTACTCTTTATAGGAAATATTTTTTCCACTCCCTCTCCCACATTTGAATTTCAAATTCAAAAAAAAACTTTTGTGGTCTCATAATTGAATGAAGCTTTGTCTATTGAACACTCAAACAATTGTTATAAGGCTTGTCTGTCATACTTCATATTGTTTTTATCACGCATTTAGTCATAAGAACACGAAAATCATTTGCAAAAATGTTCAATTTGAAATGTTTGGGAAAGTAGAAGAGACAAAATGAGCAATCGTTTGTCAGATCATTCTTAGAAAATTCGTTCTTTCAACGGTTTCGTACATCAGCGTATTTCTATGGATTCTATTCTATGGAATCGTATATGGCGCGACTTAGGTTTCATATTTTAGTCAACCAGGGCCCTTTACAATGATTTCTCAAGGTTATTTTTGAAAAAGGCAGGTCTCAATTTCTTGTAACTATTTTCTGGTTTGTCGGTCGGTAGACTTTCAGTTTGATCTCGTAGGCTGTGTGCAAATCCATCAATTCTGGATTAAATAGGGTTGAATCTGCGCTAATATGGGGAGGGGGAGTTGAATGAATGTGAAGTTTGCACTGGGATTATTGTGGGATAAGTGCTCAGGAAGGGATAAAAATGACAACGGGAATAGGGTAAGGGTGGGGTGGGGTAGGGCTGGGCTGGCATTTCAATTGGTGCACGAGGCTTGGCATTTAAGTACGGCTTAGTGGGGAGACAACTGATACACATTCATTGAAAGATAGCAGAAAATTAGTTGCCTCTTTTTTCTACAAAAATATCTGTTCAGTTGCGAAAATCATTAAACTTTTCAGTTTTTTGTCAGCTTGACAATCTAGGAGAATTCGAAGCTTATTCACTAGGAAACATTTACATTTACCTGAGAAAGATTTATGGCTTAGAAAAAGATAGCGATCTCCTTTCCTGGTGTTGTGTGATTCTTGTTTCTCGTCTCAATTTTACCGCAGACTAGATTAGAACATTTTTAGTCAAGTTCACAATTATCTGGATACTTTTCAGCCTGCCTTATATAGGGGTTTCATTCTGTCATAAGCTAGCTCGCGTTGGATTGGCTGTTGGTTCGTCAATTCAGACGGCGGTAAAAGGAATGCCATTAGATTAGTGGACGAATCTGAGTAGGCAGGTATGCTATGGTGTGTAGGTACTAATACCTGGTGGTAAGGTGGTGGGGAAACCTGCTGTCAAGTGTCAATCAGAGGCGGACCTGTCACACAGTCAGAGTGTTTGGGAACGTCGTCTTTCAAACTCGGTCTGTCCAGCTGTGCAGTCAGCTGGTAGCCTGTAGGAGCGTCCTGTCATTAAGCAAACATTTGTGCCATCTCGTTCCGATTCGCCCCAAGAAGCCAGCTCAATCAGCCGGCACTCTGCCATGCTTAAGCACCACCGTCAGTAGACTACTTCTTCTCGCCTCTTAGCATTAGCAAAACTAAATTAAAACAACATTGAAAAGACAATAAACGACACTCACATCTAAATTATCTCTTTCTCTCGTCGCCCGCCCCGAGAACATCTGGTGTATATTCTTAAACTAAACAGAACCTACCAACCACCCCACGAAACTGAGTTAGACAGTAGTGCGGCAATCGACCATCAGGTATTGTGAACACATTTATCCCGCGGCGAGCACAGGGGCTGAACATTGCCGCCCACCGACTACTTTGCTTCAGTCTCAGCTTCGTCCCAATAGATTGTATAGGCCCAGCAGCAGATCCGGAATCGCGAAGAGGAGCAGCGGGCCAGCAGACAATTATCTCCCCTGACTGGCGCACATTTTTAAACAATTACCACCAAACACCCTCTGTCTTTAAACTACCACTTCCCTTTCAATCTCTTTTGCTTGTTCGCATTTTACTTGTCTTCCAATTAGAGCCATAGCACCATTCACAATCAACAAATATGAGCTACCTGCCGGCTGCATTGATTTGATTTAGTTTCAACTGAGTTGAGTTAAAATCTTCTTTTCGAGTTTACTCTTCAGCGAGGAAGAAGAGTCCCAAAAGTAGATGCGAATTGTGCCTCAAATCTAATTCAACCATTTGAAAAACAACAAAACAAACTAACCAACCTTTTCTCTTTTTACCCATATCTCCTTCTGCTATTATTGTACCCCTCAAGCTGACAAGGAAGAGACATTTATTGACTATTGTATTCCCAATCAAATTACTCTGCCCTATTGATTTTGTCTGAGGCGCAGAGTTCAATTCCTATTCACCATCTTCCCTTCTTTTCAAATCAACCACAAAAGAGACAGATAAAAGTCAGATTAGAAAAAACTCAGTAAGAATGTCGTCATCAGCTGCAGTCAATTCACAACACAGAATGATTTACCCCTCCCGATCCCTACTTGTAATGGGGACGATGCTGCTGGTGCTGCTGGTACAAATGGAAGGAGTGGAGGCTGTTGCGGGCAAAGCAAAGGATCTACACTATTGGTACCTTCCCACCGAGAGCACAATCCGAACTGCCTCCGAGCGAGAAGTGTTCACCAAACCACAGTGCATCAAGATAAACGACAACTTGCGACCGTGCACTAATCTACGATACAGCTCCATGCGCATGCCCAACCTGTTGGCACAGTCGTCGCTGTTCGAAGTAAAGAACTTCCTGATGGGTTTCGACGACGAGAGATTTCTGGAGTGTGACCCGTTCGCACGTGACTTCATCTGCTCCTTGGCAACGCCTCTCTGCTTTGACGGCCGAGCCCAGTTCGAGATTCCACCTTGCCGAACTTTGTGTGAGCGTGTGAGGGATAACTGTTTCAGTCTATTGCTGGAGTATGGACTGGGCATCTCGAACAGGTTCAACTGCTCCAAGTTCGAGAACAACGAACTCTGCATGGACCCATCGGCTACAGCTGAAACTACGCCAAGTAAGACTCTTTCTTTTTATACAGACATTTTAAATTGCAACCTTTTATATTCAATGAACCCTAACTGTCAAAATGCAATGAAATAATAATGATTTTTTTGAAACTTCAGCTAACTAAAATGTATTAAAGGAAAATAAGAATCTAAAAGGTTGTCTTAATCATGATAATACGATGAATTTGTTTAGTCGGCGTCGTTCGGCTTGGAAGTGAAAATATGCCTTAAAACGATATTAAGACTAAAGCGTCCACGCGTCTCATACATATTACCTAAGTTGAAAAAAGGAGAAGCCCCATGTCTGAGCACGTTTCCAAAAACATTTAGTAAAAAATCTTAAGAAAAGCAGTTAGTACTAATTAATAGCAAATATATGGTGATTTGCAATTGCAGGTGGCCAAACAACCAACCGTGTTTTGCATGGTCATGACTCGTACCATGACTCCACTTCTAGTTCGGAGGTGCCAGCGACACTGACTGCAGAGACGACAGCTGTAAATGAGGCAGTCACTGACCCCACAGACGTGACAGAGGCACTCTGCCGCGCACCAAACGGGGTCCCATCTGCACTGAGTAAGATAAGAATGACATATCACACTATTTTCATGCTACCAAAAATTAATTTGTACAAGGTTATCTAACAAAAGGAATTTTAAAAAAATAGTTTGAGAAACCTGAGAAAACATTCATTCCAGGAGCGATCTGGCGGGGGATTGATTGATTTCAAAGATTTTTTTTAGCAACCAGATCATTTTTAGTAACCAGAACACTAACAATCGTGTTTTGCAAGTTTGTTGAACCTTGGTGTGTGTTGTGCACTAGTTGTGCGTGCGCGTCTGAAGTCTGTCCGAAAGAAGCGAAAGGGGGTGTTCATGAAAGTGAAGAGGAAGAACCTGAAAGTGTTCTACGATAGGGACTCCCTGCTGGGGGAGGTGGGGGGAGTGCCCTCCTACAACTCACAGCCCCTCGACACCCTCTTCTTCCGCACCCTCGAGAAGATAGAACCGGAGGGGGCGGAGTTGCCCAAAAAGAACGCAGTCGTGTACTTGTTCATCTCCGGAGCAGAGACCTCGTCCGGATCATCCAGCAGTACACGTGAGTTACAAAAATGAACTTTGAAAAAGTTTTAGTTCCAATAGGGTCATTTTTCCTCAATTGTTTTTTTTATGTTGAACTTACTTTTGTCAGCTACATTGAGAAAAACGATTAAGTAAATTGTCCGTATATGCTTTGAAGAAACGAATGAAATTGACCAATATTGTAATGTTAAAATTGATGTTCAGGTTCGACCAAGAGCAGCACTTCTTCACAATCAGGAGCAGTGACATCCTACGACACAAATGCAGATGACACAGAGAACAGCACAGAAGACTCATCGGAAGAGGAAGATATGCCATTTTTGAGGGTACTGTGCATAGTGCCAGACAACGGAAGCGCCAAAATGAGACAGCTCATGAACTGGCCCGGCAAAAATGCACCCATCAAATGCGACCCCTAACCGATTCTCAGTCTAAGACCAATATCAACAAAATCTACAAGTACATCACAACAATTGGGGAAAACAGAAGACGAACTTTTCCGACAACAAATTTCATATTTGACATTTTCCAGATAGTAACTCAAAGACACGCTGTTTTAAAACCAACATGATATGAAACCTTGCGCATTTAAAAAAAATTATTAGGTAATTCGATAAAAATCTACTATATGCGTACGTAAGGGAGGATTTGGGGGCCACATTTTTCAGGGATTAGACCCCGTCGCCACCTTTTAGTAGTATTTCAAGATAACATTTTTTAGCTAGCTAGCATCCAGTTTTGGCTTTTCAAAAAATGACTAAAACGGCCAAAAACAAATTTAATTGCCTACGGCGCAAAATAAGGAATTTATAATCTTTTGAAAGAACTCGAAAAAACAATTAGGTAGACCTAAAGAGTGAACTTTTAGAAAATCTTCTTCCCCGAGAAAATCGAATTCTCCCCTGCGTGTTGTAAAATAGTTTCTATAAGGCTTGATAAACTGCTCGACTATAAGGGCCATTATTTTGACTACGCTGACAATTCGGGTGCAAAAAAATTTTGCACCAATTTGGACCAATTAGAGCTCGAACAACTGCTGATTTGAACCTTTTTCTGGATTCGAACGTGACATTGTTTCTGACATCATTCTTTCCATATTTTCGAAATATTTCTAGCAATCGAGTTGAATGCATTTCCTGGTTTCATTCATTTATCTGTACAAAAATTCGCTCTCCATATGTAGCTGTTGCTGACAATAAATTTTGACTATTTGACTGATCTTTGGTAGAATTGTTTGATTGATATAGATGTCTAAAAATACATAAAAATACAATAATAATACAGCTTAGAATAAAATTTGACGAATTTTTATTGTTAATGTGAGCGACCAACAAGTCCAAAAGCCCAGTTCAGGCCAGTAGTTATTCGCGCTTTCCTCTTCCAAATATTTAATTTTACAAATGATAAAGAAGCATTAGCCATTTCTTTACCGTTGGAATAGGGGGCAGGTACTTGCAGAAAGGGGGGTTATATTCAAAAAGGCTCTGTGAGCTGACTCAAAAATGGAAGGTATTTTTGCTTGAGCTTTTTTCCTTGCAAAATGAGGTAGTATAATTAATGGTTGAGTTATATATCATAACAAAACCTTTTCAGTCATGATTCAAACGACATTGAAACTTTTACAACGCTCTATCAATGTCAAAAAAACTTGCTTGAAATTTTTGATTCTAAATCTAATTAGAGTAAAGCGAGCAAGTAGGCCTCATAATAGGAGTATTAAGTTTTTATTTATGAAATGAACTTTAATTTGAATCCAACAACATTAGTTTTTGGCATTTCGTACTGCGAAAAAAAAGAATTTTGAAGTACCCAAGATTTTTGCTAAGTAGAGTTGGTAAAGTTTCCTGGATAGAATTGACTTGCGTTTCGGTCGTAGCAATAATCTTGGGTACTTCAGTCTAATTTGAACATCATAAAAAACAGAAAAATGGGATTTGGTCAGAAAAAGTAAATGCGGAGGTTTTGTCAAATCAAAGGCGAAAAAGCATCAGTTTGGTAATTCAAATCTGCAGTCATTTGTTCATACGACTCTAAACCTTTTAATCTAAAAAAGTAAAACACAAAATTAAGCTTTTCTGTTTCTAGCTACGACAACATGATACCGCTTTGACTCAACCACGAAGTGAACTTAATACGAAAAAAGTTCGTGTATTAATATGAACCATCTTTTTTCCGGCCTAAGTCGAAAATATTAGTGCGGATTTCATGGTCCGGCAACCCAATAATGGTGGCGCACCTTTACAGCTTTCTGATATCATGTGCTTTGACATTCAAATCGTAATAAATTAAGTGAAGGGCAGTAGATGCTTTTTTTATTTCATAAAATAAATCGAAAAAAGCTATTTGTTTCAAACAACATCACAATCATAAAAACTCGATTTCAGAAGTTTTCTAACTCAATATCTCGCAGTTTTTCGAAATGCACAAATTTATACATAATGTGGCTTTATGCTTTGGGATTGATTAACTGCAACCTTAGTGTGGATGCCTTCAGTTTGTTATATTCCAAATTATCAGTTGCAAAATTGAGTTTATTGTTGCGACTTTCGATACGAAAGTAACGGAATATTTGTGCTCGGGGGTGGGTTTTTTTTCTTCAGACAAATTTCGACTTTTTAACTAGCCATTTTTGACGGAATTTTTTTATATCATTCAAAACGTATTGTTGTCTTGAGCTTAAACTTGAAAAGATATTTCACCTGTGATCATTTTTCGTAAAGTTATGAGGGTTTAAATATTGCCATTTTGACCATTCTGACCAACTTGGGACAATTAACACGCGATATAATTCTCGCTATTAACGCGTAAGTGATTTAATCCGCCTTATAAATCGTTCCAATTGGTTGAAAGAAGCTTATTTGCCATAATTTATTTATTACAAGGAACGAAATCCATCTTTTTGTACTTGATATGGCGTGTGGGGGGGATGATTTTTATTTAAAAACTCAAATTTTAGAAAAAACATTTTCATTTTGTTTTATTTCATTTAAAATTTTCATGTTATTACTGCTGCTCCATAAACCTTAAAAGGCAGTCGGAATATTCAGGGCTTCGCCTTGATACGAGCAGTCTTGTTTGTATTTGGTGCTGAATCGTATTGGCGATGTCTTATCATGTAGCTGCTTTATTCGTGACTAGTGTTTGTCCGTTGTTAAGCTTGAGTGGCTGAGGAGTAGTGCTTGAGACTCAATCTCTTGATTGCAGTAGGTCGCAGATTCGAATCCTACACGTAGCCGAGTTTTTGCTAATTCGAGGCTTATTTCTACTTTTTCTTATTTAACTTGATAGAGCTTCTTTTTGGTCGTGTTTTCGCAATTCTCAAAAAAGTTGCCAAACTTTTGTTTGCCTGCTTTTTTAGATCGACCAAATTGGTTTTCTGAGCTCTCACATTTCATTATAAAGACCCTATTTTGACCAAACTTTCGGATTCACAGGCAATTTTTTGAAAAAAGGGGCCAAAAAAAGCGTTTTAAGGGACTCATCAGAAACTTTTGACAGAAACTAGCATGTTTTGGGCACGAGTTTCCACCTCTAATGTAGTCTGTATGGACTTCAACGCGCCTTCAGAAAAAATTAAGTGTCAGTCCGTAAAATTTGGAGGATTTAAAATAGTACCAAAGGGAGATGGAAGAAGGTCGACTCGCAGTGAAAGGGGTGGGAGCATTGCGCTCTTCCCCTAAATCCATCCTGAAATAGACAATTGAGGGCTCTCAGATCATACTACTTCGTCTCAGGCGCAAAAAAATGTTGGTTGTCAGGCTTAGATCTCGCTTTGGTTATTTGCAGCTCTGATTTCTATCAAACAACAAGGTAGCCACAATTCAATTTTCCATTTGATTTAGATTTTTTTTTCGATATTCTTGAAGCCGAAATTGCATCAGAATTACGTAACAATGACAATCTGCTGTTATGATGCGAAACAATTTTAATTTTGGGCTTGTTGGCCTACAACCAAAATATGAGCCATAAATCGGAATCCAAAAAATTGAGATCTTAGACTTGAAAAGTTAAATGGTCACACAAAAAAAATCAGTTTAGTTTGAGTCTGTCGCATACAGTTTATTTCTGTCTTCGATTGCCTTTTTCATTTGAACCCGTTTTAGGTATGGGTGTTGAAACTTTGATCCCAGCATGTCATACACTGAGTTGGGCTGCCGAGTGAATGTGCCCTTCTTCCAACCGAGAGGTGCCGGCCACTTCTTTTTCCAATTGAGTGGGTTTTTCTCACTACAACTAACGCCTTGTTCTTCTAGCGCCTGAAACAACTTCAATTTCATTTCTTTCGAATAACTACATTCTGTAGCTGAAAATTTCGAACATGTATTCAGCTCAGGTACAAAAAGATTCCGCATCTACGGTGTTCTGTTGTAAACACATCTAAAAACGGCAAAAAAATAGCTCGGAAGAGTTAGAAATGCACCAACAAAATCATAGAAAAAAATTTCTGCTTTTTTTACATGATATATTGATACGTTTAATAACTATCGGTGACTGCTTTTACCATTTTGTATCCGTGACTGCTTTATTTTCCATAATTTTATTGATACGTTTCTAACTGTCCGTGGCTATGTTTTTACCATTTTGTAGCTTCGTTTACAATAGAAGATCATAGATACTCAAGGATGACTCTTAATCTGTTTGTACCAGAGCTGAATACATGTTTCAAATTTTCAGCTATTTTCAAATTATAATTTTAAAAAAACTAGCGTGTACCGGACCTCCGGTGCTTCGAATTTTCAAGAACTCAAAAAACTATTCTTTGAGTGTACTCTGACATCACCCAATTACAGTGTTCGTAATTAAAAAGTTTTTATTCAATTTTTTTATATAAATTTTGAAGAACCATAAAATTTTGTGAAGTTTTGTATAAGTTCTTCGAAAAACTTAAAATGAACTAAAAAAACGTCACATCTGGGAAACTGGAAGCAATTGAGCAGTCGCATTTGGACGCAAGATTTGCAACTCCTGAGAGTAACTTCAAATTTTGTAAAATTTTTCATTCGATTTTTTAATTCAAATTTAAAAAAAACCATAAAAATTTGTGACATTTTTTTTATATCTAAGTTTATAATGAATTAGGAAACGTCACATCTGGGCAACTGAAAGCAATTGAGCAGTCGCATTTGGACGCAATATTTGCAATCTTTGAAAGTACTTAACTACAGGGTTGGGAATTTCACTTTAACGAATTACTTTGTAATTTGTGTTTTCTGAAAAATTCCAAAAAACAAAAATCGTCGTATCTCTTAAACAAAAACTATTTGGGCACTCTTAATTAAAGGCCAAATTTTCAACCCCTGAGCTTACTCTGACAGCCCCCCAATTACAGGTTAGGAATTTCAAACTTAAAAAAAAATTAATTTAATTTTCATGAAAATTTTTTTGAAAAAATCACAAAAAACGTCATATCTGGAAAACTGCAAAATTTTGAGCAGTCCTATTTGGATGCAAAATTCGCAGTCCTATTTGGAGGCCGAAAATTGCAACTCCGGAGAGTACCCTGACAGAGCCTCACTACAGCGATGATAATTTCAAGTTTTGTGAAATTTTGTTTACCTAAGTTTTCTGAAAAATTTTGAAAAAATCCTAGAAAAAACGTCATATCTCGAAAACAACAAGAATTTGAGCAGCCATATTCAGACGCAAGATTTGCAACCCCTGATAGTACCCTCACAAAAAGCAACAACAGGATTGAGATCTTCAACGTTGTGGAATTTTTTAAAATCTAAGTTTTCCGAAAAATTTTGAAAAAAATCCTAGAAAAAACGTCATATCTCGCAAAAACAACAAGAATTTGAGCAGCCATATTCAGACGCAAGATTTGAAAACCCCTGAGATTACCCTCACAGATTCCAATAACAGGATTGAGATCTTCAATATTTTGGAATTATTTAACATTTAAGTTTTTTGAAAATTTCGGAAAATCATAAAAAATGTCAGATCTCGAAAACTACAAGGATTTGAGCAGTCATATTTGGCGGCGAAATTTGCATTTCCTGAGAGTACCCTGAACGAGCCTGACTACAGAGATGGCAGTTTCAAATTTTGTGAAATTATATAATAGTTAATAGATAGATAATCGATTAAAGTTAAAAAATTAGGCGACGGTAGACAGACATAATCAAATTAATTAAAAAAACAGGTTTACAGACAGACAGACTTAATTTGGCCTCGAAAAAAAAATACTGAAAAATTAATGACCTTGCGGAAAACTAATTGAAAAATTTTCTTAAGCATTGCAATATATGAGATAGCTTAAACATGAAAAAATTCTTTCGTCAAAAAAGCAAATTTATTATGCTTAAATATGGGAGATAGCTGTCACTCGCATTTAAATATAGTATAGATATAGATAGATAGATAGATATAGATTACAAGGGCCTTTTTTGATAAAACTAACGCAAAAAGAGAACACTGAATCGCCATATAATTTTCCTATTTAGCTGGAAACTTTATTCCCTGCACACAAAAAGAAGACTTAAACAATTAAAATTCATAGTTCATTAAAACCAAATTAATTTAAAAATGTTTGTCACAGTAAGACAATTCGCGTTGCCAGCTAACGAAACAAGAAAATTTATTATATCACTTAAATTGGCTCAATCTCATGAACAAACGGGTTTATTTTTTAAGTATTGTATTGAGTAATTGAGTAGTATATTTAACCTACTTCAATGAGCGATTTCATCTTGGGTGTGTTGAGCTCAGAATTTGAAAACGGTTGCATTGCTACTTGTGTGATTCCAAACTTGACCAGTCTATCGCCCAGAATAGATGCCAGAATGCGGTAGGAGGATAGAGATAAGGGGTTGTGGATGCGATTCCTAATGTGCTCCTGGTCTGTTTCTATCTCCGTCACAACATGACCACTGTTGTGTACTACTGATAACTTCAAGCTGCCTCTAAAGAAGACAAAACATCAGGTAACACAAATAACTTGAAGAGCTCGAAAAGAACACTACAATAACTACTTCAAATAACTGAGGTTTCGAACACTATGATATGATAACTAAAATTGGCAAAAACTAAGGACTGTTTATTTAAATTCTGAACTCTTTTGCCCGGTTTATTGAGCTTTAATATGCTTCGAAGCGGATCAAATTACGTCTCCGCCTCTCAACCGAAAGGTCGGATGTTCGAGGCCCACCATGATCCGTGCTCATTGCTTGATGGTGAGGCAATATTAGCCAGTCCAGAACAATAACCAAAAAACTGCAGGTAGTTCTTAAGCAGGGGCACAACATTGGTTCAACGTAAAGGATGTATAGCTCGTATATTTGTCTTTTCTCTCGAGGATAAATGGTCTTAAAGAACAAGTAGCACAGAATGTTCCGACCTGGAGACGGGCAGAACCATACTCGTGCCAACACGAGTGCAAGATCCATCAAACTCCTCGATGTCTCCAACATGACACAACGCGTTTTTACACAAGGAGCAACACAAACGAGCCTCACAGCTCCTACAGAAATTCATGGCTGGAATCATGGTCGCCCTGCTATTGCTAGTAGCAGGAATAGAAACAAACCCCGGGCCTGCAGCTTCTACTGTCTGCACTCAAGAATTCATAAGTATTCAGTACAGTGCGTAGTGCCACTAAGGTGGCTGGGTACACCTCAAATGTACCAAACTCAAAACCATCGAAAAAGGCGATATCAACGTTGTGTGCTGAGCATGCACATGGTGCCGATCACCTGATATACCCATTGCACAACCAGCCCCCACCAAAGAAACCACAAGTTTCAATACCCTCCAGTTCAATGTCAACGGATTAAGAAATTAAAATTGACAGAATCATACATAACAAGAAAGCAACTACATAAAAAAGCAGCGATACAGGAAACAACCACAATGCGGCGTTAAAAGGCCCTCCTGGGTATCAAATAGTGGTCATTAACCACCCTAAGGAGTGCTGCAAAGGCGGAGGTCCTGCATTCATTATTGATAAAAGCCTTAAATACTGCAAATATTCCCTACTCTCACAAATCACATCAGATAATCACACTGAACGACAAGGAAATCAAATTATATCAACTATCTCATTTCCTAACCTGATAAACATCCATCTTCCACCAAGCTGCTCCGAAGGCTTTTCAGCCTCCGTAAGACATTTACTAGACCTGAAATCGTTCTTCATTGTTGCTGACATCAACGCACAGCTCTAGTACTCTCCTACAAACCCAGAACACAGAGGGGACAAACTTGCAAACGAATTGGTGATTCAGACTTCATAGTCTTAAATGAGAATGGTTGAAATTCCGCGAGGAAACAGAAGAATTGTTTCTAAAAGCGCAATTCTCACGCAGTATTCTTAAGGATGAAAAAAGTTAGAGATATCATCAAGAAAGCCGCATTTTTGAAATATCTTACAGGGATATCTTGAAATAAAAAATCTTACCTGAATTAAGCCCTCACCTCGCTGGAGAGGCAGTAACAGTAATGCATAACACACAACTTCCAAAAAATAACACCCAAGTCGCCTCACCATCACAGCCCTCAATCACACAATAAATAAAATTATACAAGGCAATTACCGCTCAAAACAGATTAAATTACTAAAAAAAGAACCCCAGAGTACAATCAAGTATGTTATGGTACAAATTTTGATCTTTTTCCGGACAAAATCCACCGAAGACATCAAACATACCAATTATTTTTTAATGATGTTCCACGAATTTATGATAATAAAAGTGCTCCATACTTTTCAACAAAGAGTACACCCCTTATCCAGATAAACCTGACCAAGAAAAGAAAAATTACGCTTAAAATAAAAAAAACTGCCTTTTAAAGCCACCAAGTTCACGACTGAAGAACTATAAACTGCAATTTTAAAAAAGAAAAAAATAGTTAAGCCCTTGGTCCTGATAAGATTGCACGATTCACCTTCATTCCATTGGAATGGTCGGCATAACATACATCACCAACGTTGATAACAGATCACTAAGCATTGCAAAACACCACATAACAGGTCGAAATATCCCGCTCTATTTATCTACCTAAAAAACTGTAAATATCCTAAATATCCAAGTGATATAGGTTCTTTGCACTTGTCTCCTGTGACTTAACTAGTAAAAAGACTTTTTTATAAAGGTAAGAAAAATAGTAAAGCCCGTGGTCCTGTAAGATTGCACGATTCACCTTCATTCCATTGGAATGGTCGGCATAACATACATCACCAACGTTGATAACTCATCACTAAGTATTGCAAAAACACCACCTAACAGGTCGAAATATCCCGGTCTATTTATCTACCTAAAAACGGTAAATATCCTAAATATCCATGGAATCTAGGCCCATTGCACTTGTCTCCCGTGGCTAAACTAGTAAAAAGACTACTCTGTCAGAGAAAAATACTTGCTGCTTCGACTTAACCGCCCTAGATACGGTTAAACACCGAGTTCATCCAATTGACATATTTAGTACCTCGCTCACTAACAACATGGCTCCTCTCATAATTAGAAGGCTGCTTTTCGTACGTCGAGTGTGAAAATCAGGCGTCGGACAGGCGTAAAGTGAAACAAGGAGTTCCACAAGGTGGTTTTCTCTCACCGGCTTTCTTTAACCTGTGCTCCTAGTAACATTAAAAAGAACCTTTGCTGAAGATTTTACACTTCTCATATCTGGGCTCAATGCATCAGCGCTATACGTCTCCATGAACGCATACATGGAAAAACTAAATATGGTTCATAGATAAACATCTCATCGATCTCTTGATGATAAATCTATGGCCACGTTATATACCACATGGTCTGCAGAAGTGAATTTTGAAACTAAGGTTGATATCGGCGGTTATCGCCAAAAAACATAATAAAATGGGTGTGACATTTGAGTAAAGGCTTAATTTCAGAGCACACACAAAACATCTGTTCACGAGTACAATCAAGGAACAATGTACTGAGAAACCTAGCCGGTACTAACTGCAAGTGCAAAAGAGACCTTATCTATATCATACAAGGCCATCAGTCGAAAGTCGTGGTGTTATGAAATAGGCTGCAGCAAAAAAGTCACCCAGCCGCAGAGCAACTAACTCAAAAAACTACAATTGAAACAAAATGACGAGCTAAGAAGTGTCACCGGTTCTGTAAGAACCACAAATATAGACCACCTGCACATTGAAACAAATGTCCTCCCAGTGCGTGAGCACAACAAAATGCTCTCAAAACAGTTTTTACTTAGCAGCCACTTCCCAAGTCGAGCGGATTATGAAACCAGAGCAAGTACTGCACGCTCAAGCCAACTCTACAAATATTGCTTCATCAGAACATCGCTCCCCTGCCCCAAACACAGCGCAAACAAACCATACACATTAAAATAAGGGCCTTTAACATGTCCATAAAAACAGTTGAATATTACATCGGAAACCACCCTAAAAATGTTCAGCGCAATTCCACCTGAAATAGACTTGAGTTAAAACAGACTCGATCGCGACGACATGGGCAAATTTGCTCAGCTCCGATCAGGATACCCTCCCCTGCTGGATAATAACCGGAGTAGGTTCGACCCTAAAATCCCTAATGTCTGGAACCTGTAGTCAAGGCCCTCATGATGTCAATCACCTATTTAATGGTCGAGGTAGACCGACAGATTTAGATGTCCTTAGTCTTTGGGCTGACCACCTCAGTGTAGCTGAATTTCTTCAACTCACATAGCACAGTTGAGCAGCAGAGCAATTTTCCGGAGATGAAGGATTGTCAAAAGAAACAAAAATAGCTGCCTATGAAAGAGACGCAGCCAGAACAACAATATTGATTGAAAAGAAACTACAAAACAAGTTCTTTTTTCTTTCAAACTACATCGTTTTTGGTGTATCAGTGAATCTAAATGAAAGCCTAGAATTTCGATAAAAAATAAATTGAGTTCAAGTCGCAGTTTTTCTAATAAAATACACCATATGTTTACCAACTAACAAGCCTCAATTTATAGAGCAGTAATAACATGAAAAAAAAATTGAATTTAATAAAAATAAAATGATTTTTTTTAATTTGAAATTTTTTGTGAAAATCATTCCCCCCACACGCCATATTAAAAACAAAGTGATTAAAATTTGGAACGATTTCTAACACGGATTAAATCTCGGCTTAAACGTCAATAGCGCGAAATATATCGCGCTTTAATTGCTCGAAATTGGCTATTTTTAAACCCCCATCGCTTTACGAAAAACAATCACAGGTGAAATATCTTTCCAAATTTAAGCTCAGGACAACGATAGTTTTTGAATGATATCAAAAAAAATCCCGTCAAAAGTGGCTAGTTAAAAATTGGAAATTTGTCGGAAGAAAAAAAAAACACCCCGAGCACAAATATTCCGTTAATTTCCGAGCACAAATAATAAAAAACAATAATAGTCTGTGTTAACATCCTAAGCATTGGCTGTACTTAATAGCTGATCAGAATGAACACATTTTATCGCAACAAAATTTGGGTGGCAACAATATTTGTGACTTAGGTTGGAAAAAAAAGATAGTTCATATTATAACACAAGCATTGCTTGTGTAAAAAAAACAGAACTTTTTTATTTGAGTATTCTTAAAATTTTCATTCATAAAAGGGCGCAAGAAGAGTTTTGATAACTAATTTTACTTGAATAACACTAAGACATAGTTAGTTTTTCAAAGTAAATTATAGGCCTATGAAAAGTTTGCTCGCTCGCTTTATTCGCTCGAAATTGGACGAAAAATAAAAAAAAAGGTTTTTTCTCGAAACTGGAAATTTTTTTTTTCGAATGTCGTTCGAATCACGACTAAAAGGGGCTTTTATATGATACATCACTCGACCCATTCCGATGAGTATTTGTGATACCTAATTTTTCGAGGAAAACAAAAAAACTAAAAAACCCAAATACAAAGTTCCTCCCCATTTTCAATGGTAGGAACAATAAAAGCATCTGTTAATTTTGCAAAACAAAAAATGAAGAAAACGGCAACAAGATTAATGACATTTCTTGTGGACGAAAATGAATCAAATAAAACATAACAAACCTTGAGGAGTCAACAAACAAACAATTGTAGTAATGTTTGTTCGGATACGTGCAGCCTAATCCTCTTGGTTTTATTTCGAACCCAAGCAATTCGAGGTTGCGGCGGTTCCGATTCGAGTATACATGATTATGTTTCGGAGTTTGCAGCCCACTATTTTCTGTCCAGCTAGAGAAAGGGCTGCTGAAACTGAGATTAACTTTTCGCAATAACTTCTTTAGTCTCATCAATTCGGCAGAAAAATCTGAAAACATGAATCCCTCAAATAAATTATTAGCACAACAAAACAAACTGTCAAGACTCGGTCTTCATCGCTTTGTCTCATTTTTGGGTAGTGTAGATTTCTAACAAAATTGGAGCAAAATTGAAAACAGGATTAGCGGAGACGCTTTCCATCATACAAAATATCTGTATGCCAAGAACGTGCTCAAACGTCAAATTGAAAATCAATCCCATAAATCCTAAATCTTTTCAATTGGTCAAAAACTACTTCAGCCGAACCTCGTACCGAGTTCTACCCTCTGCTTGAACCCCCAAACCTAAAATTGGAAAAAAAAACTTCTCCCAAATTGTCAACACCAACAAAACAAAATCAACCCCAAAATCAACCATAACATCTCAAATCAACTGTGAGAGATATACCTAAGAGAATTTCACTTATTAACAATGAAAACTATTCAAATTTTTTCAGCAGGGGTTGAATTTGAGAAGCGAAAAATTTAATAAGAAAAAATGATTTGAGATTTTAAAAATTTAATAAGAAAAAATGATTTGAGATTTTTTTTTCAAACTTCACATCACTTGATTGAGCCACGAACGGTTTTCCAGCTAAAAAGTTGTATAAAAGTTTTCCAACTTATATCAGTCACAAATTGTGTTCAGATCAAGTGGTTTAATAACCAGATTGATGTTGTCAGTGAAGTTTCATCTCCTTGATCAACGTATTCGAAACTCAGTGTTCTTTAGAAAAAGAAAACTGGTAAGACCCAATTTTTTTTAAATCGAACAATTTACATTCAGGCTATATTTTAGGCAATATGGAGAGTATAAATACACAATTTCATCAATTTGTTTCTAATGGTTGTTGAGAAAAACTACCTTGATGCAAAAAAGCCATCACACCAAAAAAAATTCCTCCGGCTCAT